TGACATGTGGAACCAGCTCTACACTTGTTTGAGCAAATAGACAGCTGCCAGCTAATGGATCCATTAGCAAACTTCCCACAGAATATCCTGTGTTTATCACTGCATGAAATTTTAATAACTTTTAATCATTACTTTAGTTGAAAGTTAAGAAGACCTTTTTGTTAGACCTTTTTGTAAGGCATTTGTTTCACAGAAGTGAAGGCATGTCTTTTCTTGACAGAAACAATTTCTTTTTTATGCTAACACTGGGAAGTGAAGCTACAGTAGCAGTGGAAATCTTCGATTTTTTTTCATCTTTTTATTAGCCATTTGTGAACCTCAAATTATTTTTCTGTATTAGGTAGCATGGGGAGTTACTTTTTAGTTAGATTATTTTTTTGTATGTTTTAGGTGGGAAAATATTTGCAGTCTTGCCTTATCCTTCTGGAAAGAGACTTGATTTGCTTGTTCTAACTTACTTTTTGTAGTGAAAAATCACTTCTGTGCTCTTTTGTAGCTGTATGGACAATTTCAGTAATCAGAAGTAATGAAATCAAAATGTTGCAAACTGCCCTTCTCTTAGTGATTGTCTTTTTCTATACCTCTTAGTTATGGTACAGTACCTGGTTTATATGAGAGGTTAAAAAGAGAGGAAGTCCCTAGAGCATCTTTAACTTTTGTGGTGCCTTGAAACTGCTACATGTGACTGTCACTCCTGGCCTTACTCAAGGTGAAGTCTCCAGAAGGCAACTAGGACATGCTGCATTGTAACACAAGAGCAAAATCAGAGAGATATTCAGTTGGCCCCAAAAGGAAACACCAGGTTTTTTTTTGGATGTCTTTTGTTTTGGTTTGGTTGTTTTGGTTTTTTGGAGTTTTTTTTAATAGTGATGGCTCTTGTTATCAAATGCATTACAGCAAGTGAAACAAACATGAGCCTCTTCCAGCCCTTTGGTTCATGGTTTTGGATGCTAACACCCAGCCCTCAAAACCTCTGTGCTGATGGGTGGAGTGTGGGGGAAAGGCAGTGCAGAGTTTAGAGGCATTTGCAGGCTGCTTTGCTCTAAGGCATGTGGCTGGAACACAGTTTATCCACCCGAGTTGAAATCCCTTCTTTCAATGAAAACTTTATCTAATCTTCCATCATGCCAGTAGGAGACCTTCATTGAAGCACTCCTGACAGTCCTGTGTCCCAAGGAACCAAGGAGTAACTTCTGTAACTATCAACTGGAAGGAGCAAAGACACATTAGATCCAAGAGTAGGTTCTTTATGACACCCACCTCTCTGGGCTGGATGGACAAGGCTGCAGACACCCTGAGGGAATTTGTCAGTATGCTAAGATACAATGGCTTTAGAAGAAGAACTTGTTTTTCTTGGTCTGGTAGCTCACCCTTAAAGGAAAGCAGAAAAATGCCAACACAAAGACTTTACTGGCCACACTTTTCGATTGTTGTTGAACAAAGCTTTCCTCTCATTTGGCACTGTGCTCTAAAAAGGAGTTGGGAAGGTAAGAGGGCAGCATTGACTTTCTTGGAGCTCTCATCTTGTCAGAGTGTTTATTAAAGATCTTCTTCATTGTGTGAGGTGTTTGTAGGGTATTGAATGACAATTATCCTGTTGCTCTTTATGTACTTCTCCAAAAAGCACAAATCCAGTGAGATGCTACTAAAACTTCGTTTGATTCCAAGTTCCTGGGGTACTCTCATTCTTCTGTTGATTTCTGCGGGCATCCTGTTAAGCTTCAGCTGTCCTTAACAGTGATAATTTTAGTTTCTGTTTCTACTTGAGAACGTTCTAACATAGGTTTGTTTTCATCTAGAAGGCAGAACAAGACGGCTGGACTTATAATCCATGCCTTTCTGAACATGGTTTCCTCATAGACCTCCAGCAAGCTGACTGCCACCCTCTCCCACCCAAAATGTGTGGGCACAGTGATCAGAATCAATAGAAAGAACAAGGTGCTGAAGTTACTCAAATAAATTGCCTCAGACACCAGTCTGGCATGAAACAATGATCTAATTAGTGGGAAGTCAGAGACTTGTGAATAAGATACCTTGGGCCAGCATTGCTTTAAATAGATTGACTTCTGCAGTGAAAATAGGAATTTCCCATCTGAATCTGTTTTAAAGAGTTCAGTGCATCGGATAGAGAGCTGTTAGCTTTTTATGACAGAAATGTATTCCTTAATATGTTTTTGCTGGCCAGGCAAAGGTTGGTAAAAATAGGTGTAAAGTTATTTCACTTACATACATTTTTGATAACAAATGCAGTACCAGAATAATCAAATCCAGCATTGCACACCAGCTGCTTAGGGATTTTTTTGTTCTTTATCCAGCAATTTATTATAAGACTAAACAGTACTAAGTCGTTGGGGGTTTTCCCCCACAGGATGGGCAGTCAGGGATTTTTTACTACTTGCTCTTGGTTTATATCATCTTCCCTCCCCTCGTGCTTCTAACTTGTCTTCACAAATGCATATACAGAATTTTACTGCAGTTTGCACCTATATTTTTTTGCTTTTGAAAGGTAAGGAGTTTGCTTAATTTTCTTTTGTGGTTATGCAGTTATAAAAGTGTTTACATTTTTGTCTGCTTATTTCTGAATGTCTTTCTCTTTGAAGTGCTGATTGAATCTCTACTGTTAATCTCTTTAACCCCTGAAAGAAGATTACCTTAACAGTGAAGTGGCTGGGGAGGGGAGAAGCAAGGGAGAGGCTGATTCTGTTTTTCTGGAATGAATTCAGGTCTTCAGTAAGGGCTTTTCTTTGTGACACACGGGTGATAGTAGTTACCAGCCTTTTGATCAAATCAGCAGTTCCTTGGGCAGGATCCAGCAGTTTTACTGGACTTGGTAAATTGTTTACTATCTATTTTTTTATTACTTTTTTTTTTAATCTTGAGGTCTTATCAGCCTGCTACAAGTTAGGCAAATGGCACAAGGACAGAAATACATTTGTGATGGATATTTGGACAGATGTCCGTGTGCTTCCCTTTTAATCTACTTGATTAACATTAGTAGTGTGCTGGACTTTTGAATTGTGTGCTCAACTTCCAGCCAAAGGCAAGGAATCAGAGCTATTAGAAAAGACATTTTTGTAAAGGTGATAGGATTTTTATTCAATGCTAGCAGAAAACAGAATTTAAGTTTTTTTAAAAATAGTCAAGTAGGCCTCAGAGGAAGACAAGAATTCACAATAGGCAGCCACATGGCCAAAAGAAAATATTTGGGATTATAGTGTCTGTTTGCAGCAGTAGAGAAATTAAAAGGATGTGATTCTGGATGTTTGACTTCTATTGTGAATTTATAACTGGCTTTTCTACTGTGTATAGTAATGTGGTTTTTGTAAAGTATTTAGGCACATTGCATTCTTATTCACATATTTGAGCCTTGCTCTGTTAACATTTGCTCATAGTTAATAAGTTGGCAATAATAGTATAAGAAGTAAAAATAATTGAAAAGGTGTGCTTTGTGATGATTCATTATTCTGTGGAAAACCTTAAATGTGATTTGTAAAAGGGCTGTTATTTGACTTTGTTGCTGCTTGTTTCTGCATAAGTAATTGTATTACATAGCAGTATTAGGGGCTGAAATGACAGGGTGAATATTATGTTTTTGAGCATTAAATTTTATAGGGTGTTTCACTGTCTGTGGACCTTGTTCCTTCCAGGAACTCTGATTCATGGTTCTTGAGGAAATTACAGTATCTTTATTATTGTAACGGTTAGTTATACAGAGGGTGTTATTTTCTCTCAGTGTGACTGGATTACAGCAGTATTTGTTTAGTAAAATTTACTTTGTTCCATATTTCTGTGTCTAATAGTTAACGAGGTAAGAAGGGATTGAGAAGGAAAAAGAATTAGGCACACGGGGAAGTATATTTTGTTTCCCTAATTGTTAGTTAGAGTCCATGAAACTGTTTTTGTACTTTTCAAAATATGTGGTTTTCATGCTTTCATTCTCCTGCTGTTTATTTTTTTTAATTGATTCATTAGAGAATGTCGAGCAGTTGATTTCCTGTGTCTGTAGAGGTTTTACTTTTGTAGTTAAAGTAGATTTTTAAACCCCCTCCTGCGAATAACACAGGGATTTTAATGCCAGACTAGTGCTGCATCTAATAGATGCTGCTGTTTTCTTCCTGATTTGTTTCCTAACTGGGGTAAGCCAGAAAATGCCTGCTACCAGTTGTCACACCACCTGATAAATGGCAGGTGGTGACTTCTTAAGGCTCAGTCGGTGTTAATTGCTGGTGACAGGTCTCCTCTCTGATTCCCTTCAGCAGCAGGTAATAGGTGCCCCCACGGTAAAGAGCTCAGGCACTGTCTGCCTGTAGTGGGAGCTGCTGGCACTCCTGGGCCATCAATTGCCACCTGGCCAGGCACGGTTCTGGTTCTAAGTCCCTTAGGATATTGTAATTACTATTGGGGTTTTGCAGTTTTAGTTACTCTAGAGCTTAACCCTGTCTTCTGGCTGTGAATATCTGAAGTTTGTTTGTGAGATGTATTTGGGGGGCTGGCAATGGATGAAAACTTCTCTATGTCTATAAAGATGTCAGCAGTTGGTCAAGACTTCATTGGCAGATGCTTAAAAAAGAAAGCAGGAATGCCCCATGCATTTTCTTTGTAGAATTGCTTGGATTTGCTTCCTATAATTGAATCTGGTTTTGTCACATCTGTTTCCCCCTCCACCCTGCTGTAGATGACTCCAGTGTCTTTTCCTCATCTGTTGCCTGATTCCCCCTTTTTTCTTTGTTGCCATTTACAGTCTGTCAAGTAACCAGGATGAAGAATAATTCAAATGTGCTGTTATGATGTGAAGTTGTAGGGGAAAATAATTAAGGCTTCCCTGGTAATAGTTTAGGTTTTATTGCAGAACACTTTTTCATCAGAGTTTACACTCTGCATGGGGTTTAAAAGTAATCAATTCACATTTGGAATAACTTTTTGGGAATATCCTCTGTTAGCTGTCCTAAGACCACATGAAGGTGAGCTCCTTTTCTTTTTTTTCCCTTTCATCCTCACAGAAGCAACGATGGGGTGCATTAAAAGCAAAGAAGGTAAAGGCCCAGCTATGAAATACAGAACTGAAAATGCTCCAGAACCTGTTATTTCCCATGTCAGTCATTATGGATCAGATTCCAGCCAAGCAACACAGTCACCATCAATAAAGGGATCAGCAGTTAATTTTAATAGTCATTCCATGACTCCTTTTGGAGGGCCTTCAGGAATGACACCTTTTGGAGGAGCATCATCTTCATTTTCAGCTGTGCCAAGTACATATCCTAGTACTTTAACAGGTGAGTGTTACATAAAATGATTCTATTATTTAGTATTATACGCACAAAAAAATACTGTGACACCTTGCCACACAGAAATAAATTGCAAATTTAAAATAAATTGCCTTTTAGAGATTCCTGATTTTCAGTATCTTTACTGCTCATGTAAAAATTCAGCCTGTATTCACTAGTGACTGGGGGATGAAGGTTGGGTGTTATGGCTTTTATTTTTGTGGAGACAGTTAAGATCACAGAACAGAGAAATTTAAGAGTTACTAAAGACAATAATGGGAATAGTTGATAAATTTACATTGGAAGTTGTAAGCTGTTGAAAGGATGTGTATGGGATAATGGCTTTAAACTTGGAGAGATGTACAAATGAAAAACACTTCAGATTCAGGAAATTGGTTTTTTAAACTGGTTTTAAGTCTGATTACTTTTAAGTTACGTTAATACAACGTTGAATGAATTTATAAAGCTAAACTGGATTTGCATTATATTCTATGTACTTTACTGTGGGAACAATATGTGTGAAATGAAAGAGTGGAATTCCCATTTTTGGTGGTCATATGAAAACCAGAATGGAAAATGTAAAGATAGAATTTGCAGTACACAGAGACTTTTTTGGCTGAGGCACAGCACATACAGCATTTTAAAGCAATATGCATATTTGATGTTATAAAGCCACTTAATATTAAAATCTTAAAAATTACAAAAATACCGATTCTGTCCATGTAACTAATTTCATCGTTTTGTTGGATATTTTTGAGAGGAAGCTGTGCTTTTTTTTTTTTTTGAGAGACACTGAAAAGACAGACTAATTTATTCTAGAAGCCTGTACAGACACTTCAGAAAACAGAGTAAATAATTCCTTAATAGTCTCTTTCTAGTTTTCCCACAAACCTCTAATGCTGGCACAATTACAGTGCTGAACTGTTTGCATTGTTCTAGTGGCATTTAAAGTCTCTTAAAAACACAAGAAATCTGAGATCCATGAAAACACATTCTGACCTTGGCATTAAGCAATTCAGGAAACCAAGTATGAATTGTCAGGTAATGATAACTCATGGTCCTTTTCTTGGGAGTACATTAAAAACCAAATAATTAAGATGAACATCTAGCCTGTATCATTTATGAGTCAACTGTGAATCCCTCTTTTGGATGAACATACGCAGAAATTAAATAAGGGCAGCATTTATTTATTTTCATTAGGGTCTGATTCATTCATTAGCTCTGTTGAGGAAAGTTTATTGTATTTCATTTCCCCCAAGAACGTTGGAATATTTCTTCTTACTAGATCTGGTTCTTTGGTCATGTAGGAATTTCCAGCAGTGCATGCAGGCACTCCTGGGCATAACCAGACATCAGGGATGTAGCCCCCCACTCGGTACCACAAATCCTTTGCTGCAGAGACCAGAAGGGATGCTCTCTTGACTGTTCCTGTTCCTGCTGGTTGTTAAGCATGTTATATCTTGAACCAGAGTCAACAAGAGAGATTTCTCATGAAAAGAGAGTCTGATATCTCATCAGTGTAAAATCAGTTATCAGCAGGCAGGCTGATTTGTGTGAACGCTTCCATTGTTTTGCAATTAGGCAAAATGATACTGCATATGAAATTATTCCTCCTTGTTCTGTAAAACCAGCCCATCCACAAAAAACATACATACATAAATGCATACATTCATAAACAGAATTGCACTAACAGTTATTTGGTACATTCAGTACTGCCTTTCAGATCAATCAGAATTGGATGGTTTTGTAAGCAAATGAGATAGCCTTCATCTGCTGTAAGCTTTTTGTATTTGTGACCAATAAAACACTGGATCACATTCTGTCACCCTTTGTTTCACAAGAGAGGAGAATAGATGGGCTTGTCAAACAGGATGTAAATGTCAGTAGTACTTATCCAGTTGATCAGTGATGAGTGACAAGAGGATGATATGGTTGTCATCATGGCCTGTAGTGAGGCTGAAAAGTTGAGCCATCTTTTATTCCTCTAGAGCAGAAAAGAAGAAGAAATCTGAGTTAGTCACACTGCTCCTGTATTACACACTGTCTGTCTTCAGATACTCTGAATTCATAGAATATTGCTGAAAATCAAAATAGAAAAATGGATTACTGTTCCTGTCTTCCATGAAGCTGTGATAGTGCTCTGTAATCCCCTTGCTGAACAAGAAGGTAAAGTCTTCTCTCCAAAACCAGTCATAGATTAGAGGATGGCACACTGACCTAATAAAAGGAAAATCTTTAAGGGAAGTCTTGTGGCTACAGATAGTTTGAGCAACTAAACTACATCACCTCACAGTGGTTCACAAAGAAAACAGCTGCAAGAGATTTGAAGTATCATTTGACAGTATCTTTGTTTAAATCAGTCTGTGCTGATGATGTTGTCTTCAATTATTTTTTTATTCTTTGCTATGAAAAAATAACATTCGTGACTGAGAATAAAAAGAGGTTTTATGGTAGCTGAAGTTTTTCAAGTTTCTTTATATGCAGTTAAAAAACATCACATTTTGTGATGTTGTGACTTGAGAATATTGATTGTGTTCATCTTCTGAAGAACTTTCTGGGGATGGTGTATTTCCATAACTCTTGCTTTCTGTTTGTGTGAATACTGTTTTATCCTCACTATTTTCTTGCTCCACCTATCAGTTTGTGTCATCAAAATAATGTAGTAATAAAGAGAAAAATTGGTATAACTATTTTGATTTTTAACTTAAATTAGGAGCTGCTAACTTCTAAGGAATGTTTTCATTCATTTTGAGTTCATAAATCACACTTTAAAAAAACCCTCAATTACTCTAACTTCCCGTGGGGATTTTGTTCTGTTTTTCCTAGCGGAACTGTAAATTCATTTCCAGCTGAGGCCTGCTGAGAGACTGTAACCACAGGAAGACTCCAAATCAAACTATTTTAGATGATTAGGAGCTCTTATGTCAGAAAGTACACATTGCAAAAGAATATTGCATATAGACACTTCCCATTGCGTTATGTATTCTTCCTTTCTGATCATGATCATGCTAATTTTAAGACCTAAATTAGAAGCAACATGTTTCTTTTGGTGGGCTTTCATGTATATCCTGATATGTACATGTGCACATTAGAGATGTAGTATTATATGTTTAAAAATATGTTACTGGTTGGACAATCATTATGTTAATTAGACTAAGAAATAGCATTTCTAGGGCTTAAAAAGTCTTTCTGAATTGTCTATTTGCAGTTTTGTATTTTAACTTACTCATGGTTATGGTACATGCTTCTTTATTTTTGCTAGTAGCTTGTACATCTCAAACAGCCTTTCCTCCTTTCCCTCTTCCTCTTCTCTGTCTTCCCAGTTTTATAGATTAAGTCTTTGAAGTATAGAAATATGTTTTCTGTTGCTAAGTGTAGAAGCCTTCCTACCATCCACCTCTCTTACATCTGTCTTCTTTAGGGCACATGTTCAACAGCATGCACTATACCAGCAGTGGGATGAGAAAGCAGATTCTTAGGGTTGGTGGAGTGCAGCTGTTCCTCATGTGACCTGTCTTGGTCCTTGTTCTCTGGAGTAATGCACTGATGGATCATCCTCAGCAAGGGTCTGCTTCACAGGTGAAGAGACTTGGTGGCATCAAAAAAATCATCAGTGCTAAAGCAGAGGAATGTCTTTGTCCCCAAGAGAATACTTTTAATTTCTGGTTCAGTTCCTTGGGTAGGTCTTGATGTGTAACCTCAAAAAGTTGGGAATGCATCAGGTATTTATAGCTAAGTGCAGCAGGAACTTTCACCTCTGTGAAAATTAGTGGCTGATGGTTCTCTATTGTGGTGGTGTAGGTTCTTCCAGAATTGCATTTCTCAAGCTTAATAAAGAAGCCAAGGGTTTGGGTTTTTTTACTGATGATGCGTCATGCAGGTTTCTGTATATAAGTGCTGTAATTATTAATGTGGTTCCAGTGATGTGTCTAGTGGCCTTTTGTGGTGTGGAAGCATATTTTCAGAATGTCTGTTTATAGGCATAGCTCTCTCCTAAGAAGTTAGCAGGTTATTGATCTGTCTTCCAGAATGAGATGCAACCCAGTGTGTTTAGTTGCTTCCAAATCAAAACTGATTTTTTGTTTCATGGACAAGTCCTTAAATCAAGTGTTGCAACATTACTGCTATATTATACAGGATTTTTTTTCTTTTTCCTAAGGTGGTGTTACTGTATTTGTGGCCTTATATGATTATGAAGCTAGAACTACAGATGACCTTTCATTTAAGAAAGGTGAACGGTTCCAGATAATAAATAACACGTAAGTGTTCTCATTCACAGACCTCACTGGGTTGTTTGAAATAATTAGATCCTTAGTTCTTTTGCAAATCCACGTATCCTATTTCAACAAAGGATATTTTTTTTTTTAAATATGTTCAATATTCAATAAGCATGGGGTTAAAATATAGAATACTGCTAATACAATAACTTTTCAGGTTGAGATCGGAGTTTGGGTGCAGGTGTAGGACTGTAGCAGCAAGGCACAGCTACCCCCTTTGGGGCAGCAAAGGTGGGGACAGGTACTGCTCCATCCCAGGCTCTGCACCTGGAGTTACTCTCTGATCTGGAGAGGCAAATGAAGACTAGATAACTCAGAAATTTACTTGCGCATCTCTGCCATAAAGCATTCTGGTTTTACATTAAAAAAAGAAGCCCCAAATCTTTAAAATATTAAATTCCACGAAGGGGCATTTGTGTTGCTCACAACACAAGATGTATGTAGGTGCAGCATAAACTATTTGAGATGCCATCATAATTAAAATAACACGTTACCTAAATTTACCTGTCTTTCTATGTGCTATGGGATTATGTGTTGTGTTTATGTGTGGAAGAAGTAATGATGTTTCATTGCAGGGAAGGAGACTGGTGGGAAGCAAGATCCATTGCTACGGGAAAGACAGGCTACATCCCAAGCAATTATGTAGCTCCTGCAGATTCCATTCAAGCAGAAGAGTAAGACACTGCATCCTGTCAATTTTATACACTTCCTACCCTGTGGTGATACTGATTTTTAAAGTCATTATATGTAACATTTAAGGGTAAAGTAGGAGAATACTGTTAATGAAAGGATAGCAGTGCTACTTAGATTATGTCAAAGGTGTAATTATTAGTAAGCATGGGGTGGACACTCACGCAGATGTTTTCTGACTGCTTGCTACATGCAGGGCTAAAGGGGAAAGGATGGGAGAATTCAATAATGATAAAAATTGGAGGGCATGCCTTGTGTATCATATAAAGCAAAAATTTTTGGGTTTTAGCTAAAGAGTTCACACACCATCAATTCTAGGTTTTTATCCCTATTTTTGCTTGCCAAACCCTGAGTCAAGGTCAGCTATATACTTGGTATTACCTAACCTTACATTCTAAAAAAGCATTTGTGTGCACAATTATTGTTAATCTAATAATCTGTAATAACTTTTTGATGACAGAATTATTTGATATGCTAAGGACTGCTACGAATTTGGAAAATTATACTTGTTTGTGTACTAGTACTTCCTACATTTATTTACTAACATCCTGGAGTGGTTAGACAATCACATAAAATGACTGTGGATCCTGTAGGTTGGAGTAGAGTTTTAGGTTATCCTCGTTCCAAGGGATTGTATTTGTTGTACTAGAAATATAAAGCTGCACAGCTCTTGTTTCAGTGATACTGCCAATCAACAGTTCACTGATATGTGATCTGTGCGCTTCTCTGTTTGTTACTGGATGTCTGGGAATAGTGCCTGATTTTCAAGATGTTTGCTAAATCTCAAGCTGAGACTTTAGCATGTTGCTGCTGCTGCTGCTCTCACTTAGCTCTGTGCTATTAAAAAATGATTGCATCAAAGATGCTCTGTTATTTTACACTCTTGAGTTTTATCTGGTTTTAAAATTATTAACTTTTGTTTCTTTTTTGGGGGAAAAAAGTCAAAGATTTCTTTTTTTTAGAACTATGCAGTAAAAGCTTAGGCTATTACAACTACAGTGGTGGTAAAATGGAAATGATAGCCTTTTACAAAGAAGGCATAACTCCTAAACACTGGCCAGAACAAAGTGGTGGGATTTGTCATAGGTTTATATGATGACTAGAGGTGAGAGTAAAGGGTGATAAATGAGGAACTTTCTAAAAACTGTTTATTTCTAAAAACCAGTGCTAATTTTATAAATATCCCCACAGCATTTGGAATACCGCTCATTTGCTTTAGAGTTTGTTAGCCCTGTGCTTTGATATAGTTTGTAGATTTTGTGCAGTGACTGCAATTAGAGATAAAAGTGCAAATGTCATACAGAGCCCCAAGTTGCTAAGAGTTTGTCTGTGGCCTTTTCTAAGCCTGGAGGTATTTATAGCAGAAACTGCTTTTGACAGGATCCATATTATTTGTGTGCTTTTTTTAATGACACTATAATATAAATGTTTAATTGTCTCTAAAAAAGAAAGCAATTAAACCCAGCTATTATTTTATAGGCAGTGAAATAAAACAGCATTTTACAATATAGTTTGTAAATTGTTGTAGTCTGAGGAAGAGGCATTTTTATGTGAAGTTATGAACTAGGTTCAAGTTTGCTTCTGTAAGATTTTAGGTTACATCCAAATTGTCTCCAGTGTGTATACTGTCATATCCATTTCTAACTTTGCACATCTCCTTCAACACTCAAACTGCACATACAACAAAATGTAAGAATAAGTTTCAAATTCCCCTGTGATTGCACAGGCCGTTCTGTTCATGGCCAACAAAGTGATCCCTCTTTATCTACATTTTTTCCCCAGAAAATATTTCACCCACAAAGCCATTGTTTTGCAGCAGTTTCCAGTACTACTTTTCCCATCACTCATGAAGCCAAATTAGCTTGACGATAAGATAGTGACAGACAAAAATGTTTGAAATTTACACTTTACATTATTTGTAACTTCTGAGGCATTTAATTAAAACAGATATAGTTAGAAATACATATAAATACATCCAAAGTCTGAGGACTCATGGGAGGATGGACCTTAAAATTATCACTGGCTCAGGACAGCACTGTGTGCAGGATGTTCATCAGGATGGGCACACTGTGGGAGTATAGAAGAAAAAACTCCTTATGTGAAAGAGCTGAAGGCAAGAAAAAATGCAAGTCTTCTAAAACATCTGTGTTCTTTTTGGTATCAGAATAATTCAGCAATTTGTAATGTTACTCACAAAAAAGTAAATGAGATCTACCATAGGGTTGTTGCGAAATGATCAGTAGAAAAAAGGGCTCTCTCTACTGAGGTAGAGAAAGATGGGAGGCAACAGAAATTGAAACAGGAGAGTTTCCAGCTGAATAGAAGAAACATTTTTATCCTGAGGACAGCCAGGAAGAGGTACAGGTTGCCCAGGTTGGTAATCTGTCATTCAGGGTTTTCAAGCCTGAAGTGTGTGGACTACATCCTGAGCAATTAGGTGTGATGTCACTGCTGACCCTGCCTACAGCAGGAGGCTGCACTAGAGAACTCCAAGGGTCCTTCCAACCTGAATAAACCTGCCATCCAGTGATATTTATGCACACTCACTTTGCATTAAATATTGTTTTCTAACATAAAACTCAAACTTTTTAAGGAAGGTATTTCAGTTGCTGCAGTTTTGAATGTGCTACCAAAGCGTGTCATCTGATTCATCTTGGCCTGAAAACTTAGCCTGAGGAGGATGTTCCTTTCAATGTTAAGAACAGTTGATGTCTGTTGTTAAACCAGCAGAAAACCATAGTGTCTGCAGATACAGGCCTCTTTACTTGTGTTTTGTAAATAACAGAAATAGGTCATCTTAATCTTTTGTCTATAAGGATGTCATTGCTTTTGTTGATCTCTGTCTGCTTTGGGATACTTTTAGCCCAGCAACTGTTTGGGTATATTAGTAGTCCTGTCAGTGCTTGAGATTTCTAAATCTTTTGCTTATATGAGTATCAAATCATAGGAAGCTTTTATTTACACATTTCCTTTTAAATTTTCTAGGTGGTATTTTGGTAAGATGGGCAGGAAGGATGCAGAAAGGCTACTTTTAAATCCTGGGAACCAGCGTGGTATTTTCTTAGTAAGAGAGAGTGAAACCACTAAAGGTATGTATGTGTCTGTGTATCTCTTCTCTCTCCCATTCCCTGCTCTCCCCAGCACCAAGGTGAACATTTTTCTGCCTGTCCCATGATACACATGAATGTGCACACCATGTATGTGTGCCATGACATTTGGGGGAGATAACATTAAGTACCTTTTTATATTTTGGTGAAGAACCAGATGTGATTTTTTTTCCTAGGTGCTTATTCCCTTTCTATACGTGACTGGGATGAGGTCAGAGGTGATAATGTAAAACACTACAAAATCAGGAAACTTGACAATGGTGGATACTATATCACAACCAGAGCACAATTTGAATCTCTACAGAAGTTGGTGAAGCACTACAGAGGTAAGCCCAAGTTCCAGTGTCCCAATGTTACCCTGTGCCTACTGTGAGAAAGAAGGACTGCTTATTCTTAAAATTCACAACTATAAAATTTCTTTCTGATTTCAACAGAAAGGAAATGGACTAATTGTTTTTTATCAACATTAAGATGTCACTTTTGTTACAGTCTTACCCTTGCTTAACTGTGAAGCTGTTGTCTATTTTTTCTGTTTTCCAGAACATGCAGATGGGCTGTGTCATAAGCTAACAACTGTGTGTCCCACTGTGAAACCACAGACACAGGGACTAGCAAAAGATGCTTGGGAAATTCCTAGAGAATCTTTGAGGCTGGAAGTTAAGTTGGGCCAAGGATGTTTTGGTGAAGTGTGGATGGGTAAGAGCTTAATGTGACACATTTCAGTTGTTCCTGTGAATGTTTTAATACTATTTTAAGTAAATCCAGTATGGGATCTGAAAATATAATATCATAGAGAAATGAAGGGAAAAAATACCAGTTATGATCATGCATATAATGGTAAAGTTAATATTCAACATAGTTCTAGTTTATGATTATATCTAAGCTAAGAAAACAGAAGCAAAAAAAAATTTCAGCAAAAAATCTCTTCAGTATTACAATGGGGGATAAAACCTGATCTGTTTCTCTAGGAACATGGAATGGAACCACAAAAGTAGCAATCAAGACACTAAAGCCTGGTACAATGATGCCGGAAGCTTTCCTGCAGGAGGCTCAGATCATGAAGAAGCTACGACACGACAAGCTTGTTCCGCTGTACGCGGTCGTTTCTGAGGAACCAATCTACATCGTCACTGAATTCATGACAAAAGGTGTGGGACACAATAGTTACAAATACTACCTTTAAAAGGTTATTTAAGACCTTAGCAACAAATCAAATGTTTAATTAATGTTAGGTATAAGCTAAATGGAGTATAAGTGTTAATTTTGATTAAATTAAAATGAGCAATGCTTGACCTACTTGGAGCAGTCCTCCAAGTAGATTTAGATTATGGGCAGAGGCATGATTCTTTTGCACATCTGTGTCACCCTTTCTAATCTTCCAAGTACAAGATTGGGGGGTTTTTCCTCCTCATTTTTAGTGTGTCATGTCCATCATATTTAAATGGAACAGCATAGCTGGGAGTATTATTGGAGATTATGCCTGCCTGTAGACAGGTCATGCTAACAACAAAACATGTTGTGCTTTGGTTTTTTTAGTGTTTCTTTCCCAGCAGTGTAATAGTAAATTTTAAAAACGTTGAGTGTTTTTTTTTCCCAGACTGTCTCCTTTATCCCCTTGTTTTCAGTCTTTGATCCTTCTTCCTTTGCTCTGTGTCATTTCCCCCTCCCCCTGCTGCTGAAACAGAGATTTAGAGATTTAGGCAGAATGTAGAAATAAACATCATAAGCATATGACTGTTAAGAAGCAGCAGATTTCCAAGTCAATTATTCCATTTTTTATAAAATGGAGACTTCTGTTCAGCTCAGAGAGGAATTTTGCTATCCTCATAAGCTGCAGAAGCAAGGGAGTGGCTAGTTGTGTTCAGTAGTGCACTACAAATGTATGGGTTTACTTTTTCCTGTTTAGATGGGTTTTATAGGGTTGTATAAGATCAAAAAGGTAAAAATGAACAGAAAATGTAAAAACTTCCTTCTGCATTTTTGTTCCTAAATAATACTAACTATGCAAAGTCAGTTTTCATTGTTCAGAAATCAGATTTCAGCAAGGCAGTAAGGAAAAAAATATTTATAACTGCCTAAAGAATAGCAAAGTTCACTACCAGAACTTGGTTACCTTAAAGCAGAAGAATTGTAATTTGTCTAAATTATGGATTCAAAATGTTGTTGGAAGCTTCTCTTTATAGCTTTCCTTTGACAAAATTCTCAAATTTTACAAAACCCACAGAATTTCCTTGTTCTAAGCTACTAGAACAATTTATTTTTATTTCCCCTTTCACAAGGAAGAGAAGCAGGTACAAACTGAAAAGTATCCAACTGTTTTTTGCAGTGTGGACAGGTTACTAGAGATCAGTGTGAAATCTTTGCTCCTCTTCAGTCCTTTGATCTCATGAACCAAGGTCAGAAAAAGTCTGTGCAAACACACAGAGCAAACAGCAGCAGCAGTGTGGGTCTGACCTGACACATTTTTACTTTCACTGTGCAAAAATACAGCAAGTCACTAAAGTTATGTTGAAAAAATCTAATTCAGAGTCACTGCTATGAACAGCTCTGAATCCACTTCCGGATATGCAGTCAAGTAATTTCTTTCCCCACTTGGCCACACTTGTAATTTTGTTACTGTAATTTGGACAGTGACAAGAGTGATTAGTTACCAATCTTACCAGTTTCTTAGGAAAGAGATCCTATTTCTTACCCCATGTGACATAATGCCACCTGTAGGGAAAACTGTTATGTAGAGACAAAGCTTTACTGCACAAGTAGAGGTTGGAGTGTTAACAGAAGCACTGCTCCTTGGAACTGGTTTCAGATACTGCTCATGTAATGTTCTGGGTACAATTGCATTATATAAATGGGAGAAAATAAGGTATTGTGAAGAATGGAAGATAGTTTTCCCTGTAAGAATAAAAAGCAACAATTTCAGAATAATTTCTCTAGTATATGATTGGGGCTGGCAGAAAAATGCAAGTAAGGGATAGAGTTTTTTTGTTTTGCAATTGTAAATCTCTCAGCAGAAGAAAGTCCAACTAGGAGGAGCACTGATACCAACAACACTGGAAAAATTCCATTGTATTGCCAGAAACAGCAGTCTGTTTTGTTATTATTTAGTTATTTGCATTATTGAAGTGGATTCCAAACCACTTGTATAGATTTGCACTAACTAGTTACCAGTGCAGAGGTAACTATGGACATGATCATTGGGTCACATATTCTAGTAAATGATGGATTTTCAGATACAGATTTCATGAGATAAATGTGTCAATCATAATGTCTAAGAAGAAAATCTCATTTGTGTTTTCAGGTCAAGTTAATGTTTTTGTTTTTTCCTCTTTTTTTTTTTCCTGAAAATGTGTTATGTTTTGCAGGCAGCTTACTAGACTTCCTTAAAGAAGGGGAAGGGAAATACTTAAAACTCCCACAGCTGGTCGACATGGCTGCTCAGGTACCAAAAAAACTTCGTAAACTTGTATTTTGTGCCTAGAGAAGAGGTATCACATAGCAACTAAACATAAATATCAAATGCTCTGGCTGTTGTGTGCTGCTCTCTTATGCCTTCTGTTGTGGGTTTGTAATTTGTCAGAAAGGAAACAGTCTGGTTTGCAATTAGCAGATACTGCACAGCCAGACACACTAATCAGTGCCAAGCTTTTGGTTGCTATAATGTAATTCCTATACTTATACAATGGGAATTGAGCTAAAATAAGGGGGTGCAGCTTAATGCTTGGGAGAAATGTATATAGCCATGAAAAATAACCTTTTATAACACTTTTCTTTTTAAGATTGCAGATGGCATGGCTTACATTGAAAGAATGAACTACATCCACAGGGACCTCCGGGCAGCTAACATTCTTGTAGGAGACAATCTTGTGTGTAAAATAGCAGATTTTGGCTTAGCAAGGTTAATAGAGGACAATGAGTATACTGCAAGACAAGGTAAGGCCAGTTAATTTATTTAATAAGACTGGTTGCCTTTCAATTGCTTAGAACTATTACATTTAGCAGAACATGCCTTTGTGTTTTCTGTTCATGGATAAAGATCATGCATGGAAGTGTGCTTCCACAGCTCTGTTTAGGTGAGCCCCTTGCCTAAGTGTAATCCTAGTAAACTTCCTTTGTTCCAAGTTATGTGGCAGTTTGTTTGTGTTTTCAAAAAGCACTTTTAATTATTTTTGGGGGATCAAACATGCTACAGCTTGAAGAGAGATGAGATTCCAGAGAAGTTGTTCATCAGTTTCACTTTTTGAAACATATTTAAGTAAGACTCTCAAATGTCTTTAGTGCTTCCAGATATGTAGCCAATGATTGCTGTCCTAGTTTGAGAAACATTAAAATACCATTTCACCTTGAATTTTATCATAAAGTAAAGTATAAAAATATTTTTAGTGCATTATTCTTTTCAAAATATTTTGAAGTTGTGGATTAGCAGGAGAAAATTGAGCATCTGTCTTTCCAATGTTTGTAGGAGCTAAATTTCCAATTAAATGGACCGCTCCAGAAGCAGCGTTGTATGGTCGATTTACAATCAAGTCGGATGTGTGGTCATTTGGAATTTTACTGACAGAGCTGGTAACTAAGGGGAGAGTGCCATATCCAGGTAACAGGAAGATTTAATAGATTTTTCTTTTCTTTGTTGTATTCTTTGCCTCTGAAGTTACCTTTTGTACTTTTTCTCTTCATTCAGAACCCACAGTTGACAAGCAGAGACAAAAACTTAGTCACACTTTACTGGTTCCTTTGTTCACAAAGATACTTTGGTTTATGTTCAGGTTAAATCTTGCATATTTTAAAATGTTTTAAGATAATAGCACTTCTAAATGTGACTGACAGTTTATTTCAGATTAGTGGGTATCCTTATGTTTTCTCTCTGTCTGTTCCTGATATTTCTACTTTTGACATTTTCCCAGACTACAGAGAGCACCACTACACTGAACCTGCTAAACCAGTTTTTGAAACTAAACATTTTTCAGCAGATATTTTGCTGGATCTGGAATGTGTAAGGCAGTTCTGTTAGGGATATATAAAGCCTTTTTCTTGGCCTGATTTCAGATTAAGTTGTCCTTGAGCAGAACCTAAGGCAGGGAAAAGCTATTTGGACTTGAGTTTCCTCTATGAAAGGACAGGTCCAAGGCAATGGGAAAGGGAGAAAGGGAAAAGGACTATGTGTTGAGAAATTACCAGTGTACTGAAGTAATTTTCAGAAAATATATTTAATGCAAAATGTGAAAATTTCATTCCCTAGAAAGTGTGTTCAGTAAAGGTTCTGTTCTGGTAGAACCACATGCATTGCAGCTGCAGAGGTTCTTGAAAAACTTTGGGAAACTGTTCTTTGCATAATGTCATTCAGAGCTAATATGCCTTCCTTTTAGGAATGGTGAATCGAGAAGTTCTGGAACAAGTGGAACGTGGGTATAGGATGCCTTGTCCGCAAGGCTGCCCAGAGTCTCTTCATGAGTTAATGAAACTGTGTTGGAAGAAGGACCCTGATGAGAGACCAACATTTGAGTATATACAGTCTTTCTTGGAGGACTACTTTACTGCTACAGAACCACAGTACCAGCCTGGAGACAATTTATAAGCCAACAGTCTATATAACATGCACAAATCTGCCAAATGTAAAAGACTTGCAAAGAATTCCTGAAGTCTCTAAGGAATCACAGGAAAGAAAATCTTTGCTACTTTGCATGCTCTTAATGGCAAACTGGAATTTCATAATGCAGTTGCACAAAACCACTTTTAAAGTGTTATACTCTGATTTACCAATGACATTTTTTTTATTTTTTCCTCTTTCCCAACTTATTTTCAGGGTCCAAAGGAAGCTTACTGAAAATATGGGGCAGAAAAAATGAGTGTTGGTGTGAACAATAGCAGAAAAACCAATGTTTCAAATCCTTTATTCTCCCAGTATTTGCTAATCATTGTACTAGTGAGGGAATTGTCTGGAATTTGTGATCTTGGGGTAAGGCCTTTTTAAAGCAGAAGAACTTTGTGGGACCAAGCAATTCTATTCCAGTTCAGTAAAACTCCCTGTGTTTAAAACTACATGTGTGTGCCCCCACCCCCGCAAAACAAAAGATTTGATTCACTGTATTTGATTCATAGTCTCAATCTTTAAGCTTCCACTTTCATGGACTTAATTAGAGTAGGCAGGTAAAAAGAGAAATTGGAACAGTGAATGAGAAACCTGATCTAAACGGTAGACCTCAATAGTGAGATTAGGGAGCATAATGCACTGTGTTAATACTTGTGTTAATATAACTGGAAAGTAGCATGAGAGATTTTTCCTTTTTTCTTTCTGCATAGCTAATTAAGAATAATGAAGGTAACTAGAAAATGAGGTAATATTTTATAAAATTGTGTTGATAAAGTATGATGATATTTGAACTTGAAGCTATGTAATACAATCACGGGGGGAAAGCCTTTAATCTTTTAAGCTCCAGTGGAACAGCGAGCTTTTGTATGGGAAGACTACCTGAACAAAGTTACAAAGTTCACCAGGAAAGCAAGACTGAAGCTGGTAAATGGCCACCTTTTAGTCCTTTTTCAGAGACAGGTTTGGTACTGTTGTATGTGGCTTGCAAGTGTTATTGAGGGTGGGTGCCACAAGTGCTATCTGTCACTAGTTCAGGGATTTGATTGCACTTTTGCTTTTCTTGGCTATTAAGACACACACACCATTGCTCTTCCCACTTCTGCCCTTCCTACAGAATTATTTAACTAAAAATAAGCGAAAGAAAATGTGAAAGTTTAAAAAGTAAAGGGATAAAATATATTTAATATTGTCCAAGTAATGAAATTTGCTGGTGTTCAGCCCAGCTGACACTACATCTAGATTTATTTTCTTTGGCTACTGACATATCAAGCAATAACGTCATGTCTTTTACTCAACAATTTGCATGAGGTTCTTGAATTTCTGATCAAGCTTATGTACTTTAATTTTTAAACACTCTTACTTAGTTACTGGCTTGGAATTCATATTATCATTGTAAAGCTATCCAACAAATGAATTCAGAAGAGCTGGTAATATAGTTCTGGTACTAAACTTAACATTCATGGGTTTACACTACATTGAATCCAACTACCAAACAGATCTATGTAGGAACAGTGCCATCATTTTTCATTTTCCCTCATCAACTGTACATCTGTGGTTATCAAATTTTAAAAGGGCTTTCTGTAAGAAAAAAAAAAACAAAACAAAAAACACATACACAAAAAACCCAAAAAAGATGATGAAATTTTAATTTTTCTAAATATTTTAAAATAATAACACAATCATATGAGTTTATGTATTAATAGTCATAACAAAAAATGCCAACAATGACACTGGCATTGTATTGATTTTTAATTACTGAATGGAACAGTTCATTGTAATAACACTTGTATAGTAAAGGAATAAAACACTAACTTAATGAACGTGTTCATTGTAAATGGTTGTGTATTATAAAACTTCTCCAAAAGAGTTTGTATGTTTATGAAAATTTATTTGTTTCACCTGAAGACCTTGATGTGGTTCTTACCCTAACAGAGTTTAAAATTCACATTCACACTTTTTATATAAATAGTAATAAGTTTAATTATGTAACTAAGTATTTTTATAAAGTATGGCATTGTTGAACTGTTTTGCAGAATTGGTTCAAAATAAATTTCACCTTGATTGCATCTGCTTATTTGAGGTGGCGGGGGAGAAGGTGGGAGGGGGACAAAAGCAGAGTAGCCTTCAAATTGAGGGGAGAAGGACGGGAATAAAACATTCATGAGGTTCTTTTTATCCTCTGTAAATTGTACTTCCATGCAGGATTGTGAGTTCATTGTGCATTATTGCTGTTAAAACAGACATTTTCTAGACCAGTTCACAGGTCCTTGGCAGGAGTGGGTTAGAACAATTCTGCCTGGGCATAAAACAAACCCCTCTGGTGGACAGACAGACAGACTTGGGATTCTCGTGAGAGCAAGTCCAACGTCAACTCTCAGCTGGAGTCACTGTCATGCTGTAAGGCAAGCACATATCCTCCCTCTTGCTTTCTCTGGGATTAACAGCCACTGTTCACTTCTGTCTAATTTTTCAGGGAATTTTATACATTTGTTCTTGTGACAGCCAATGTTTTATCTCAACCTCATTGAATGTTACCTGTCTCAATGACCAGTACGCTCAAAGTGCAGATCCTGGCATGTATCTACAGTGCCACTGTAGGTCAAGGAGCTAGTACTGTTTGAGTTTCAATAATAACTAACACAGCACTAAAACCATTCTTCTTACAGAACCTACAAACTGCAAAGTTTACTGTATTTTTAGTATTTCCTGTAATGTAATGTATGTTTTACTATTTTTAATGAGAACAATCATGTAATTTCTGGTAATCTGTGCTCCTCCCTGTTGTCCATCCAAACCTTGTGATTCCCACTCTGCATGCTAGGCCTGCAGACTGTTTCTGTCATGCATTGTTTCAGGCTGTAGTATTTTAAGAATATTTTCATAGTATTTTTGAGTAAACTTCCAAACATAAACATGTGTATGAGCCTACTATTTAGATAAAGTACATTCTTACTTCAGTATAAAGCATTATGAAAAGAACCTTATGTGTTCTTATCCTTGCAACCACTGAATTGTCATTTCACTAGGCTTGTGAGAAGGCCTTAAAAGTGAAAAGTAGCCTTGGAAAGGATTGGAGGGGTTTTTGTTGTGTTTGGTGGGTTATTTTGGTTGGTTGGGGTTTTTTGTTTTGTTTTGTTTAAAGAAAGACTTCTAGAGTTTGCTGATGGGCAGAAACAAGGCAGAATGCTGCCTTACCCACACTCATCTACAATACTAATGTTTGTTCTAAAACACGTTTTCTGCAGCTGGAGTGAGTATAAAGAAGTAAACTTAGAGCCCCCATTTTTGTTATTTATTTTCAACTGTTCAATAAACTTCTAAGTTTTTAAGTTTTCCATGGAGATGCTGTAGATGTTTGTATTTGTGGCAACATTCCCCTGACACGACTTCGCATAGAGCTACACAGTCAGGTTGGGTTTAAACCACAGGAGCACTCAACGTAAGCCAAGCAGTACATTGCAAGCAGGAGACTCAAATCCTCACACCTGGCTTAAGGAATTTAGGGCTAGATTGGAACAACAGATCTGGGCACCAGAAGCACGTCTGGGTGGATAAGTGCCTCACTCCAAAACTGATTCACCCAATAACTATTGCCTTGTGCAGTAGGTATTTGGGCCCTGTGCAAATGTCTGAAAGTGCAGGTGCCTTCATAGACACACATCTTGCTCCTACTTCAACTTCGTTGTAGTACAGGAACAAAACTGCCTTTGACCTTCCAGGCACTGCAGGAGAGTGACTGTCAGTGTGGGGCTGGGAGCATCCTCCCAAATATACATCTCTGACAGACACCTCTCCAAGATAGGGTGGGAAGAGTCAGGAGACGGAAGTGAGGTGGTTGTGTCTATTTTTGATGTAACAGCCTGGAGTGTAAAGCCTGGGTTCTGATCAAGAATCCTGGCTAGCTGGGTGTCAGCTGTGAGAGACTGTTATGAGGGTGTTGAGAGTTGGAAGCAGAATCCACAGAGAACTTCGCCCTCAGCTGCAGACTTTAGCATTTCCTCAAGGACCAGATTATTTTTTCAGCACCTTTTCCTAGTGACACAGAGCGAGTGTTAGCTACAGAAACAGCAACAGCTTCCCTGCTTCTTTCTCCCTTAGCATAGGGGAGGAAAAGGGGGTGAGTGGGATAGAAGGATGGAGACAAGCAGCTGAAGTACCACACTTTATCACTGGGCAGAGGGAAGCAGGCTGAGGGGTGTGGCATGGCAGATGTCATATGTTCTTGTCTCTGTCATATTTTGAAAAGGAGGTAGAAATGCAGGGGAACTGAAGAGCATCTGTTCCCTTGTGCACAGTGGAAATGGAGCAAGGCTAATGCCAAGTGCTGCTTCTGTTCTCTCTGGTAACTCTGGGCAGCTCACCCTGACTGGTTTCTAGCAGATCAGCTTCATATTACTTGGGGAGTCCCAAGCATTGTTTTGCTCTCAGAAATTTCTAAGAATGAACCTTGATCAGCTCTTAGCAAATTAAAAAAAAAAAATATATATATACTGAGAGCCTGACAAGAGAGTTACTGGCCCCTGGATCCCAAATAGACAGCATATCAAACTCTGGAAGGTAGCTTAGCATTCCTTTCCTAGTGAATGTATATGTGGATGTAGGATTTTCTGTCAGGTTTCCCTCCTCTCCATGTCTCCTCTCCATATGGTGTGCCTAGGAACTTTACCGAGTTCAGACTTTACCCATGGGACCCATGTTCTTCTCTGGTCCTGCTCTTTGAGCTTATTTTCTTTGTTAATTCTGCATGCAAACGTGCTTTCTGTAGGTAGTACATTGATAATATTTTTTTAACATACTCTTTAAAGGCATAGGTTTTGTCAAATTGTAACAACCACTATTGTTGGGGCATAAAGTATTTCTTTTTTGTGTATTTTTACTGAACGCTGTCCATCTCTTAGAATTTAATTTACTGTAGGCAAGGAGAAACGTGTTGGCCATTGTGTTGTTTTTGTTTTGTTCTTAAAGACAGGAGAGATACCCAGTTAAACTCAGCAGGGTCTGGAAACAGACTGGAAATCCAAAAGGGAAACCTGAATACAAGCAGTCTTGATGAATTAGTCATGTACGAACTGGAAAGCTGACTGCTGTGAAAGCATTCCTTTCTTTAATCAAAAAGCCACTGCCAGTAGGAGCACTTCCTTTGTGCCCTGCTGCTAGCTTATTGAGTCTCTAGTTGAGGATGCTGGTAAGTACATACTGGGGAAAGGATAAATCTGGGCTTTTTTCCTTTGCTCCTGAAAATCCATCCCAGGCGTGGTAACGATGCACCTTTTTTCCTGCACCTCCACAGGTGCCAGCTGCTGGATTCACCATTCATTCAATGCCTCTCCCCACACATTTATTAAACACATTTATTCACATCTGGGGCAGTCTTCCAGGGGCTAAATGACTCTTGATCCTTCTCTTGGCTTCAGTGTTTAGCAGTGCCAGGGGTGTATTTGCTGAAATAAGGAAGGGTAAGGAAGTATTTCTGCTCTTTCAAAACCAGAATATGATAAATCTCAGTTCAGTATGACTCCTATGATATAAGTACCACACGTGAAGAAAGCATCTATTCATTTGACTGCTTCTTCATGAGAACAGTGAGCACTTTTCCCTGCTTCTCCAGCAAAGGTAGAAAATGCCACTCAGGGCAGCTCATGGTGTGCTGTGGAAAAGGGAATGACCGTTCTAAATTGCAGCCCCTGTTCAGTCCTGCCAAGGGGCCAAGTCAGTGATTCTGTCCTTCCAGAGAGTTCCCAGGAAAAGGCAAGAGTGTTGGTTCACATTCCTGAGAGTGAAAGCTGGTGACTAGCTGACTTGGGCTCCTTAAATGCCTCTATCCACCTTCCTCTCCTCTCAGTTCCAGCCAGGGTGTTTACAACCAATCAGCTTTTATTTCTCCATCCTGGCAGTGCAGTAATAGCATGGACATATATGAGAATTCACAGGTTGTTGTTTTCTCTTTTTTAAGAGAAGGGTGCCTGGCAAATTAAGCAGCTCTATAAGAGCAAGGTTAGATCTGTACCCCTTTCACTGGAGTTTTGATTTTGTTCTATATTACCCTCTTCATTTCTGGAATGACTCTGTTTTTCAAAGTGGCTTATGACTACCACAAATGTATATTGTTTCCATTGTGCTAAAAGACTAGAAGTACAATAGAAACCATTTCCATATTTACATTTTAGTCTAGTGTCCCTTGTTAAAGTGCATCAAAATCTGTCCATTGAATTTTCTTGAAATCTTTATCAAAGAACTGCCATTTGCAAGGAGAGGATTTTTTTTTTTTCCACATGGAAGTGAAGTTCAATCAATTGCCTCAGTGAGTGAAGGGTTATAATGAGCAGATTACAAGGAGGCTAAATATGAGCTCTGGCGCCGCTGTCATTAGAATGGCCCCAGCCTGTTCAGACTACTACTAAGTGTTCTGAAGAGCAAGTGTGTATACACTTAGCAATAGATATGCCCCTGATTTCAATTGATCAGTAAAGTAGGAAGGAATGACCCTTTTTGCAACCTGGTAATGACAAAGAGCAGTCAGTAGGATAGTGGGATACACATCCACTATGAAAGGTCAGCCTATCTTGTGGAAATGCTCTTGATCTATTGACAAAATAGCTTGGGCTTCATTTGTTCTTTGTTCCAAGACAGACACTGTTATGCCAGGCAATAAACAGAAATCTACTGAGGGGAAGCATCTCTCCCAAGGGTTTCTGAGACAGTTACCATTTTGGCCAACAACCCTTATTGCCTCATACATAGCATTTCTCACACACTCTCAAACAAATGAGATCAGTGTCATTATCTCTGTCATTATCCTTTAGCAAGGGGAAAAGGGGTGTTTTGACTCATCCAGGGTCAAGTTGAAGGCCATGATCAAGCAGCAGCCAGAATCTAGCATTTGGCTGATTGAACATTTCCTTTCAGATGGGCAACTTTTAGCATCACCCACCAACTTTGACCCCTGGTGGAGAAGAAAAGCTGCAGTAATTTCCCATTATTGTTCACAATGGGCTCCTGAGCTACTAAAAAAAAAAAAAAAATCCAACAAGAGGGAGAGAAACTTGCATAAAACCTGTTGGCCCAGTCCTGCACAGCAGTTTGGCTGCCACAAAGCCAGTGTACCAATACGTCGAGTGTGGATCTCTAGCCTGAGGTTCTGGGATGCAGCTAGCCACGTTTCAGACAGCCCACATGTGGGTGAGTGCTGGACCTTGGCCTCTGAGAAAGGCAGTGACAATGTGTTAGTGGGATCTGCCTTCCCAGGTCTCTGAGCTGCCACATCTCAGACACACAGCCAGGGGGCAGGAGGCTTTTGTTAGGCAGTTTGGACAGGACACAGCTTCTGTGACTGTTCCACAAGCACTGCCCAGTGAGCACATTCACGAGTTCCCCTACAGTTCTCATCGCTCCCTTCTTGCACCTTGGTGTAGGTTCAAGACATCACTGGTTTGCAGCAGTGCCCTTTCAGCCCTAGCCCATAGAATGAGCACTTCCTCCTTTGCCATTCCAGTCTGTTTCACTAAAAATTCAAATATGTTAAAACCCTCTAAGCACTCAGCTGAACACCCACAAAACCTCTGACTTTGTGATATCATGCCTTTTCCTCCTTCAATCTACCTCTGCAATTATTTCTCACAGCAATAATTTCTCACAGGAATGTCTCATTTGTTGTTTGGCTTTTTTATTCACTTAGGATCTAGCAAGTACGTACTCAGTTATTTTAAGCTTCTTCAGGAACAAACCATTATCTCTAGTCAGCCTAAGACTGGAGCCTGTGTTTCACCTGGTTTGTTATAAGATGCTGAAATCCCTCCCCGTCGTCATGGGTGAAATGTGCATAGTACAACCTGCCTAGATACATAAATGACCTCAGGCACTGGAATACATGATTCATCACATCCAAGAGAAGTGGGATGGGATGTTGTTCCCACAATGCAGGTGGGAACAGCAGAGGAACTGAGACAGAGGCAAGGAAAATGTCTTTGCCAGAATCCCGCAAAGGAGTTCTCACAAAACTGTTTCAGACATCAGTTACTTGTACATCAAGCAAATACCCTACACAGGGGAGAAGTCACAGAACTGGAGTCACTGTCTCTTAACTCTCAAGACTATTTATTCCATGCTGCTGAAGAAAATGATGGCTGGCACAAGGCTTATGCTCTGTCTGTTCTTTCTCTGACACTCTGCAGTTTGCTGAAGAAGATTGGCATGTGGTTTACCCTGGCAAAACCCTTTGCTCGGAATAAATGTTGACATTGAGTGGTAGTATGTGGGACTGGAAAGAAACAATTCTGGTATAGCCCTGAGTCTTGGGGACTTGAAACAGCTTGAGGACAACTGCCATTACCTCACTGCCAGAAACAGAATGCCTTACGAGGAAATGGGAACTTGAATGTGACTGCAAGTGCCAAAACAACTCAGGGACATGCAGCAGTGGCTGGAAAGAGATGGTATGTAAAGGGTGCATAATTTGAAGAAAAGCTGTTTTCCTCACAGGATAAGGGGATCTGGTGGCCTCTGTCCCCTTAACAGTGTTTTGGACTGCCATTCCAGGGTGGCTGTTTTCTTCCTCTGTGGAGTGGGAGGTGATACAAAATAACTTTCATCTTGAAAGCCCTTTGTGACTATTACGGGTTTTTTTTTAGGAAGAGGTAAGCATCTGGAAACAGGAAGTATAAGATGAAACATGGCCACTCAACTAAATCGACAGTGGCCACCCAGGTCTGGGCACAAAATGAATGGCTCCATGCTGATACTTCAAATTCAGAGACTGTCTGAAAAGGTTAATTCTCAAAGTACTAGCTGAGGAAAGGGCCCACAGTCCTTCTGTTATAGGCATTTGGATGTAATGAGGCAGCAAATTCGACTATGTTTGGCAGTCATATGTGCTGTCAAGGCTTTCTTTATTCATGTGGTCAATAGAGACATGGGAGAAATTGTCAACAACTTTGAAGGCTTCTCCAGAGAGCTTACCAGCAACAGGCAACTCTGCTGTAAGACACATTTAGGGTGCAGTTGTGAAAAGGATTGTAACAAACATGTAAGTTGTGAATTGCCACAAAATAATTCCATTTGCATTCTTAGAAATTGGGAACATGTGGTTCTCAGACAAGCCAGTGTGAAAGTGACCAGGCAGAATTCTAGGGAGGTATTTTTTTTTTTTAATACAAGTTGCACATTTCTGCACCTTCTCTTTTTTTGTAATTTTTAACCAATATTAATTGGTTTGGGGTTTTTTTCCCAGTATCAGTGACTTTTCCCCTTGCTGTGTTATCAACAATACAATCTTTCAAACCATGGAGAACAAAATATCATTTAAAAGAAGCTGAGTATCAAACCACTGTGGATGACACTGAGGGCTCTACATCTTTTTGTTCAGTAGATTGGACCAGAGAAGGGCACTGTTCACCTGGCTATACCTGCTGTTCTGAAAGTGCTCTGGGCCAAACAAGAGGGAAAGGTGATGCCCATGGGACCTCAAAGTAAGAATGTTCATTAACTCAGAGAGATCCTGGTTGCCCTCATTTGCACGTGGTCTTGATCTTGAAATAATCTGTACATACGATTGGCATTAAAATATCAAATAAAATACAGTCATTGCTGAGTTCTTGGAGACTCTGCCCATGCTTCATTTTTGCAGGATGGAAAATTGAGGCCACTGCACAGTGCTTAGTGGTGGAATTGGTTGGAACATTACAGAGTAACTTTGTGGAGCTCGAGCATTTCTGGAAGAAAATATTTTTGCTGAGTCCTGTTTCTTTGTATATCCCTCTCTTGATTTCATCTTTCTTCCTCACATATTTTAATCTGAGATTTTCACCTTTTAGGCCCTTCTCTGCTGAATATACTGTTGATCTGGGAACCAAATCTTGCATACTTAACATGTTACTGTTTATTAAAAATACCCTTTTAGGCAGTGATGTGCCATAAAGACAGCCTGGTTAGAAAGGAAAATTAGTGAAGAAAAGATATATGTCTGCTCAAAAAAAGACTGACATAGAAAGAGCTGCCTGGAATTGCGAGCCTGGGGACCAGGCCTGTGAACTAGTGAAAAACACCCTTGAAAGGGGCAGATGGCCTCTTTGAAGTGCAGCTGAGGTACCTAGAAACCAGAAACATCCACAGATACCACTGATAAGCACCAAACAACGAGACTGTAACAAAAATTTGTCACGTGAAGGTGGAAAACAGTCTGAAAAAATAATAGCTCTGAAGGAACAGATAACAGGATCCCTAACTGTCTGTGAAAAATGGAAATTAAACAGGATCTATTGGCTGATCAATGTCCCACTCCTTTTTATGATAATGTGCTATTAAAACGCCTTATGTTTATCCAAAATTGAACCTGAGAACTTCTTGGTTGAATCCCACACAACCTTCCTATAAGCATTTGGGCTCTCCCCAGGGACAGCTGGCTGAAAAAGAGTCTGTGATATGGATCATTTTGAAAATGGGACTCTACCAGTTCTCTTACTGTCTAGGTCTGTCCTCCTCTCTTTCAGGAAAGATTGGTCCCCCAGGTTGTTCCCACCTTTTGAGATGGTTTTGCTGCTTTTGAACTCTGGCTCATTCACTTCATATCAATAGCATAAATATTAATATAAGTAATCATAAAAATTTCTGCTGTTGTATCATTGATAAATTTGCTTCACTTGTGATAAACAGTAATCTAAAATAGTATATATAATTTACTATATACCATACATAATAGATAATATTGGCTGCTGCTGTCATTGGTTGTACAACAGTACCAATTTATGTAATTATTAATTGATACCATGCTCTTGTTTGATAATATGTGTTATTGATGGCAGATATAAATTTGTAATAACTTGATATATATTCATTCATTTTATTAACCATAGATATGTTTTCTAGTGGCAATATTTGTCATATTTGTGGTAATCTGTAATGAAGGAAAGAAATTTAGTGGGCAAAGTTTTCGTGTCCTCATGAATTACAGATCCTCACAAACCCACAGTCATTATCTCTCCACACCTTTTTTAATAATCACTCTCCCAATACTGCTTCCATAATGAAACCAGGTTAAGAAGGATACTGAATCCTTAATGATTTTCAGGAGAAAGTGTCAAATGTTCTTGCTTGGTGTTGAGAACCAATTTGCTTTGGTGTCAGGAATTAACTTTGCATGCCAAATGTAAATGTTACTTGCATTTTGTGACATTTCATCATGAAGAAAAAAGCCTCTGTGTGTTATGGCATCACTGTGGCTCCAGTTATTTAATTTGTTTTGTTTTCTAGTTTATGTGAAAGTTGGAGGTGGACATGATCAGAAAGTCTAAAGGAACTGGGCCCCTTTAGAAGAGTACATGTTTCACCTGGCACCCAAACTAAAATGGTCTTACAGAAGCTGTGTCACTGGCAGGGAGTGCTGCTTTCTGCACAGGGAAGTCCTTCCCTCCCAACATACCCTCTTCCAGTGTCTGCTCTCGAGCAGAGATGCAAACCAGCCCCTCTCCTGGGGAGACTCTACAGCCTGTCTTTGCTCCCTCGTGTCACAGCTGGCAGTGGGGACTAATGTCTAAAGCTACAGGAAGCTGAGTACTTAAAGAATGTGCTTTAATCTGTAGGTCCTCGTTTAGGGTTTGGACAAGAAGATGCTTTTTTCTCAGTCTGGATAATTGGGAGTTTGTTTTCGTTTTTTTAATGGCTGGGCGCTTTTTCACAAAAACAACTTCGCACTGAAAACTACAAATTTGGTAATTTAATTGCCTGTGCTACCATGGTCTGCTAGTAAACACTTGGCCTTCATGTGTTGATCTGTTTGCTGAAGTGATCAGTCGTTTTGGGGGGGAACTCCATTCAGTATTAAGATCTAAAAGATCCTGTTCTAAAATAACTAGGTATTTCCTTTTCTGAGAGCAGGAGGTATGAGAATAGGGGTGCTTCTCTGTTTTAATTTGACAGCTAAAATGGTGTGACTTGGCTTTCCTGTTTAATCTTTTACTCCTGCTTGGATAGAGTTTAAAAAGAAGCTGAAAAGGGCTTTTTATCAACTACTCACAGCCATGAAATTAGGCAAACTCACATTTGGCAGTGCAACACAAGCTGATGAGGGAGAGGGGTGTGAAGGTTTAGAATATCTGCTGTTTCACTCCCTGCTTGCTTCAGAAAAATGGGGAAAAGATTGACAGCTAATACCCAACTGACTAGCATTACTCAGTCTTTTCTTCATCATACTGTTTTATCATGCTATGGGCTTTTTTTTATTTTATATGTCATGCTTGAAGGAGGCTGCCAGCATTTGCTATTCTGCATGGAATACAGATAGATTACTGGTGTGCCACCAGAGGAGGAAGCTTGTGGTGTCATCTTTCCTTCAAAGCTGGAGTTTTGGTGCCCTCCATTTTCCCAATCCTGGACTTGTCTCCAAGTTTTGATGGGAGTAACTCTGTCAGGAGCACACCATCAGCCTGTGAGACCGACAAGCTGGAGGAACAATGGTAATGATGAAACCTGGAGTGTGAGGAGAATTTGATCCAATGTGTAATTTGATATTCATTCTTGTTCCCCACAGAAATATTCCAAAATGGTTTGCTTGGGAAAAAAAGAAAGGTGTGATCTTAAATACATCTGTACCTGATGGAAACAGTCTCTTTGCATCTCTCAGAGAGTGGGAAGGGACTGTGTGAGACAAAGCCTGTTGTTTGCTGGCATCTTCTTGTGTTTCCCAGGAGTGCAATGTCAAACACCAGGTTTGTGCCACAGTGGTGATGTTTTGCCATGTGACTCTTTGCATTGGGTTAGCAAGGAGCTTGCACTGATCTCAGCTTCTTCTAAGGATTTATCTGCTTTGCAGTTCTTTTGCAATAAAATAGCTAGGGAGAAGAGGGAAGGGCTTATTTGGCCAAATTGATCTATTTGATTAAAATGCCAGGTTTTGGGAAAAAATAAAGAAGTAAAAACATCTCCAATCCTTCAGTTTTCACAAATAACGTTCTTTGATGCATTATTTAACAAAATAATATGCTGTTGACTAAAATACAGCCTGACTTATAATTATTCTTATCTGCTTCAGACCAGAAAATGTTAAAGTACGGGTATCTGTCTTATTCAGGATCCTATTCCTGGCTAGAACCAGATCAGCAGTTAAAACAGGCTTGAATGTTCAATTTTACAGCCATAAGGTTTTAAATAGTATGTGAAGTGGGAAATGCTAACAGATGACGATCAATTCTCACTGCTTGCTTCTAAACACTTACAAGTTTTGCTGGACTGACTGAAAATCTATCATTACCATTTGGGGAGGTAAAAAAGTAGGCTTAATAGCATTTCAGTGATTTTCCCAGTTAGGCTGAATGTTCATGAATGAAGATATATCCATGGAACTAACATAGAAATGGAAATTTCTTTGTTGGTATATTGTGTGTAACAGTGAGTTTGCATGGCTACAGCTGTTGTTGGTTTATGCAAGGGGCTTATGTACATAGGGATTCTCAGGGGAGTGCTACAAAAGTATGATCATTAGGAGTGTTAATGAAAATATATAAAATCCGTGCTTGGATGGATACATTGAGAAGCACAGTAACTTCATGGATGAGAAATGAGGATATCTTCTTCAGAGTCAACATGAACCTCAAAATTTGATAAATGCTGGTTCAATCTAGAAATTATGGTTGCCATCTCTTTGAGGGATACTTTGGAACTGTCAGCAGCAGAGGGCCCTTGGCTTCCCTTGGCTTCCTTCATAAACAGCATCCCTATTGCCAGAGAGAGCTGCATGTGCTTGACTCCCTGTCTCAGTTCATGGGTGTCAGATCAAGTTAATATAGTGGGTATTTTTCCTTCATAAAATATACACCTTGGTATACCTAGAAATACTGTTGCCAAGTTATGGATTAGAAAAATGTATTATTTGTTACAATTAGCTGGGATGAGGAGTTTGGTTCAGCTGTATGTTACTGATATATCTGATCTCATTTTCTGATGGTTTCTTCTAGCTACTTGTGAGGAAGAAATAAAAAGCTTATTCTAATTACATGTAAATTAATATTATTCTAGATGCAGTGTGGTGGAGTTATTTGGAGATGCATAATCAAGTGACCTAACTTTGCTTGCAGTTGCACACACAGGCCTTGAGGGAAGGCTGGATAACATACAGTAAATGCTGGAATTGAGTATTCTACTTCTGTGTTTTATGCTTTGAAAGGACAAACTGGGCTTAGTCTAAATCTTGCAGGTCTGTGACACGGGCAGTGATGACTTTGCTTCTGTATCTCTCCCAGACACTCCCCCCTTCCACTGCTGCATAATGCTGCATTGCAGGAAAACATGAGTGGTGCTTTTGGGAAAGCTGAGGGCTGATCACCATGAAGATTAACGCGCTCCCGCTGACTTACAAAACACCATCGCCGCTTTATGGTCAGAGCAGGATGAAGCTCACTCACAAGGGAGGAGAAGTAACCAGGAAGTTCTTTCTGTAAGACACTCATGCTATAATGGTAAAATCTACTTTATGGGTTCCAGTTTATGGCCCCATTAATCATTCAGGAGTGATCTATTTCATGTTCCAAGTATGCGTATACGTTCAAAGTAAAAGTGGGTGATTATTACAGGACGATATTTACAGATTGAGATCTATGCAAGAAATGATTGGCCAGAATAAAAACTGTGCATACCGCTTTTTGTTACTATACTATGTTATTTTCTATTTAAAACCTTTAGATTAAATAGATCTTACACGCATTTATTGACAAATATTGGGTTTTTCCTTCTTCAAATCCTGAATAATGATGTCAACAAATGTTGATATATTTCAACGAACAGCAATATTGGATATGACTGAAGTAGATGTATTACTATTTTAACCTGTATTTTTGTGCCAGAAATTTGAGTCTGTGGGGGAGCCCCACTACCAGGATTGTCTTCTAAAATATGTAAAGTGGCTTTTATATCCAGAGAGGCTACCAGAGTAAAGCCTGTTAATAATTTTTAACGGATATTTGGCCAAAAATAAGCTGAAAAATAAGTTATTCAAACTAAAATATTTGAGTGAAAATGAAAAAGTAGATGGAAGTCACTCATTTTTACTTTGAAAGGTTACTTTGCTGACTGCTGTGGGTCAGATTCTTTGCCCCATATGTTCACTGAGACACTACAGCTGCTGACCTACTCTGGGTGCTGCAGTGCAGCACAAAGCTTTCATGGGATGCCATAAGATATGGAATGCTGAACCACGAACTCTGTCAATATAGAATGGCAAGGACCTGAAGAGCCTGCAGAGGAATTATGATGTAATTTTCAGATGATTCATTTTTTATAGAAAAAAAATTTCCCTTGTGTGGGAGAGAAATGCTGCTTCAAAAACTCATCTTATTTAAACTATTGCACTTTTTTTTTTTTTTGTCAGGAAGCTTTTCTGCTGAAAATTTCAGGCATCCATGACCATGTTTTAGAGTGCTTTTCTTAAATATATGCTGCCAAAGATATACTCATTCCCACAGAAGACTGCTCTACTTCCTACAGGTCCTGATCTGCTTAGTTTGAACCTAGTCTGGATACTGACATAGTCATTGCAACACTGCATAAGTATAGCCAAAACTACAATACAGACAGAACAGCAATTCCAACTTTTCATTTGCTTTCTATATCCTGAATTTCTACCACTTCATAAAAATTTTGCAGTTTGTCAGGAAAAAATAACTCTCTAGAAACCCTCACTGTATTTGATTATTATTTTTCTTATCCCAGATGCTGAATGCAAAGCAAAAGAGGGAAATAAAGGAAGCAATACATTGGGTCACTGAACCAGCTGGGTTTAAACCCTCATGTATTAAGAAGCCAACTTTTCCAAATGAGGATATACATATCCAGATGGGACATGCAACTGTTTCAAAGCCTTGAGGTTAAATATTTTATTTCAATAATAATACAGTGACTCCAGTACTGATGTAATGTTGATACTGTTCCTTCACATATTCAGAGTTCATTTTGAACTAGTGATTCAGAATACTTTGTTTCCTACGGGATCTTAATACATATTCTGCACCTGTATTCCCTTAAGTTTAAATAAATAACTCCTTTCTTAAAAAATGTTGAAGGACTGCAATGCTTGCATAAGGAAGGCAGACAACATTTAGTATGAAATGGGAATGGACTTTTTTTTTAAATGTGTGGTTTCCAGTGAAATTGGAAGACTGATTCAGAATTTGTGTTCCCAACATGCTATACTTAGCAGCACTATTAAAACCCCAGATCTACTGCATGTGTATTTCTTTACTGCTGCACACACCCTGTTATGTAATTCTTTACATTACTTGTGGAAAAGAGAAAGCAGAAAAAAAATTCAATAAAAAGTTTTATAACATGTATTGCATTTTCTATAAAACACATAGAAAAGAGTGTGCTGTTATTCCATCCTTTGTGCTACTGAGCAATTCCACTGGGAATTCAGAGAACCAGAAGCAAGTCTTGAATGTTTGTTTCCTTGCAGGCCTTAACAGTGCTAGAAATTGGTGCAGCAACCAGAGAACATGTGAGTATATGTGTAAGTGCTTTGGGCTTTTTCCTAATTACTGTTTGCTTAATGAATCTACTGCATAACTGTTGAAGCATGTGCCAAAACTCCTTTGTGTGAAGTTAAACACTAAAGCTGAAAATTACTTGGTCTCTATTTCAGCTATTTCCTACCAAGATTGCCTTCACCTTATCTCCCTGGTTCTTTCTTCCCACATACAATTTCTGTGAACAACCTGGAAATATCAGGGTTTTTTTTTCACTATTATTATGAAAGTAATTGCTAAAATTTCATAATTCTACATCAGTGAGAAATATGAAAGAATGCGTCCTGTGATTGTGATTGCCCATATGAAGGGTAGGTGTGGGATCTCAGTCTCTCAGAACTGGGGCGCAGGGTGAACAAGACCCCCCCTGGGGGGCTCGGGAGTCCTGGAATGCTGCCAGAAATGTCTGGTGACTGGACTTTGATCCCACATGGGAGATGACATCAGTATGAGGACGGGAGGATTTCACTGGGGTGAATGGTGAAGGGACAAGTTAATTGGGGTGTGAGATACAGGGTTTAAGATCCCTGTACAGGGGGGTCTAGAGAGGCAAGATGGAGGGATTGGGGCGTGCCCTTCTCCTTCTTCTTCTTCCTCTAGGCCTCCATCTTCTGTGGTGATGTTGGCACTCCGGGATTGGACCTTACTAGGGGAACACTGGTTAATAAGGGTAGAGGGTATTGGAGAAAAATGATAAATATTGTATACGTAACTCCGGGTATAAAGATAGGTGACCGCCCCAGGGGCTTTCAGTGTGTGCCCATGGCTGACTGCTGAGCAGAACTCTGTCAGGCCAAGAGAAAATCTTTTAGATAAGCAATTAATAAACACCAAGACCAAGAACAAATCTGAAGTTTCCTCTCGTCCTTTCGAACCCGGGGGCCCAAGGCCATCTTTGGGCTTTTCCCCAGACCATCTGAACAGCCGAGAAATCCCACAGGTAGGGAAGCAAGGTACAAAGATGAAGTCCATGCTGCTCTGTGGAGCAAACTGCAGGTCCATGAGACAGTCTGGATAGCACCTGGGCAGAGCAGAGCAGGCTGGACAATGTGGTCTGTAGAGCACTGAAGGTCTGATGAAGCTGATATCCCCTGTAGCCCAAGGATGATTACCCAGCTCCCATCTTCATTTTGCTCTGTGGCTTTGGTGCTGCAGCCAGTGTTTGGCTGAAGCAAAACATTGCACAGCAGCACATGTGTAGACATGACTCTGCAGTGGCTGTATGAAAGAGCGGGGTTTAGAGGGGGGAGGTTCCAGGCTCCTCTAACTGCACCAGCTCTATTTGTGCTGCCCTAACTCAGCTGCAAATATCAGCATTCCAGGAAATCATGATGTCATGCTCTCGGTGGTACCAGGGGCACTGCCAGGGGTGCAGGAGGGCTGGGGAGCCAGGAGCATGGCTGGCAGGGCAGGTTTGAGGGAACAGCCAGAACTGGGAAGGTTACCAGACAAGGTTATGCTACCTAGGACAGCTCTGAGGGCAAGCTCTGTCCCAGTGACAGGGACCAGGGTCAGACAAAGCCCAGGGTCTGCCAGCCTGTCCATGGTGATGAAGTCAGGCCCAGCTCAGGCAGGGCTCAGCCTGTGGCTCAGGGCCCAGAGCAGCGAGGTCCATGGCTCTGCACAGCTGCCATCACAGCTGGGTAGCTCAGGCAGGGACCATGTGGGGCCATGTCCTGAGCTGAGGTGGGTCCAAGGGCAGTGTTGGTGAGGGATGGCTTTTAGTGAGGCTGGGCAAGGCCAGCAGGGTTGTTCCTGCCTGGAGCTCCCTCCCAGACAGATGTATCCTCTCACCCAACAGAGAAGTAAGGGCTCTGATGGGATTCCTTTGAAGGGGAATTCAGTTGCTGTGGGGTGTAGGGGACACAGAGCCAGGGCAGGGACATGAAAATGGGAAAGGGACAAGGATTGTTGGAGCCAAGTGGAGGGCACAAGCTGACTATATCCCCAGTGACTTGGCAGACTTATGGGTGGGGATCAAAGTGGGGATCCTCAGTGGCCCCTGAAGATCATCAAGTCCCCCTTGTGAGGGGATCAGTCAGACTCAGTGTTTGGGCAAGGCCTGTGCTGGGAGGGTGTGCTGGTTTTGGCTGGGCTAGAGTTCATTTGTTCACAGTGGCTAGGGAAGGGATGTGTTTGGGATTTGTGCTGAACACAGGGTTGATAATATAGAAATGTTTTTGTTATTGCTGAGCAGGGCTTGTGCAAAGCCAAGGCCTTTGCTGGTTTTCATACAGCCATGCTGGCAAGGGAGTTGGGTGTGCCTGGGAGTCTGGGAGGAGACACAGCTGGGACAGGTGACCCAGACTGACCAAAGGGATATTCCAGACCATGTGGTGCCATGCTCAGTGTATAAAGGGGGAGAAGAAGGAGGAAGGGAATATTTGGAGTGGTGGTGATTGTCTTTCCAAGTAATCATTATGTGTAATGGGGCCCTGCTCTCCTGGAGATGGCTGAATGCCTTCCTGCTCATGTGAAGCAGTGAATTCATTCATTCCTTGTTTTGCTTTGTTTGTGTACACAACTTTTGCTTTCCCCATTAAACTGTCTATATCTCAAACCATGAATTTTCCAGCTTTTCCCCTTCCAATCCCACCCCTGGCCCCGATGGTGGGGAATGAGCCATTGGCTGCTTGGGGCTGGGTTGCTGGCTGGGGTTAAACCCCAAGAGAGGGTCAGAGCCCAGAGTCAGGCCAGGTTTGTAGGGCCAGCTCTTGTGCAGCCTCAGGCCTGGCTCTGCACTGCTGGCTTAGGGCTTGGGGCAGCCTGAGATGCCCAGCAGGCAGGATGCCATGGGGGCCAGCTGCTCCCAAGGACTGGGAGCTGTCAGGAAGCCCCATGGGAACAGATCCCTCCCAGCCAAGCTTGTCCCATCTCCAGGGGTGGCAGCGAACAATGAGATGGCCCCAGCCTCCTTTCCCTGGGGATGGGGACGAGAGCAGAGGCCAGGAGTGAGGAGAACCATGGTCAGACATGGCCCAGGGTGTGTCCAGCCAGGATGGGGTATAGTTCCATGGCCAGACATGTCCACAGCTGTAGCACAGCTGGAGGCAGGTACACTTGCCATGCCACCCAGGTAGAAACTAAGGCCCAGGGGCAGAAGGTGTGAGCCCCCAGCTGAGACTGGTCATGGTGAGGCCTGTCAGTGCACTCAGTGTCCTGTCTGGCCTTTGGAGGAATTAGTCTGGTACATTTGCAGCTATTTTCAAAGGGTGAAACCTGTCCTTTTCCCCAAGCATTAGTAGTAAGTCACTGCCATCAGCTATATTTAAATACTTTTTGCATGAAATATTTTTAATGAGTCCAAAGACCAGAACTAACTACCAGATATATCATAAATAGCAAGGTGCCAGCAGGCAGGCTGATACCTTTCAGAATACCAGTCTCCAGATTAAAGTAAATTGGTTTTTATTGCACCCATCTTTTTGCCAAGTATTGACACCAAATCTACAGAGCCAAACAATGTGAATTAACAAATTCTTGGTTCTCTGCAGCAATGGAAACAACAGCGATGACATTAGCATAATTTCTCTGCTGCCAGTTTCTCATGCCAAGCCCTGCTATAAAAATATTTAATTTTACTTCTCACTCTCAGCTGTTGTCTACCAGTAGATAGGACACTTCATTTGCAGAGGGGGGTGTTTTATAATGAATATCTAGTAGGATGAGTTTGAATTACCCATTAGCATAGCCCTGCTTTACAAATTAAAGACCAGTCCTGAATTTTGGCTTTACTGGATGTTTTCTATGGCCTTTCTCTTCTTTTCACCATAGCATCTGAGAACCACATAAGAATTTAATGTATTTATCCAGAGAATTCCCATGTGAATAAGGGGAATGCAATTATCTGTACTAAAAACACAGGAAATTAATATGAGGCCTGAAATGACATACAAACTTAGTCCAGCTACAGACAGGAAATCTGTACACAGCTAGAAATTGAATCCTGACTCTTATCCAAGTGTCTCTCAGCTACAAGGCCATCTCTCATCTGGCTGGACTGGTCTCCAGGAGGAAGAATGATTTCCTGCAGCAGAATCACTGCTGTTTTCCCTTTAGCTGCCTCAAAGTGGGAATAGCTGCTCATTCACATAAGCAAGCACATCCCAAAGCTGTGCAGTCCCAGGCGTGCTGAATCCTGACCCCAGAGTGCTCCTAGTTCCTGCCTGTGCACGCAGTTAGGTGACCAGAGGGGTGTGAGTTGGGTCCCAAAGGAGCCTAAATGCTAAAAAGATTTTAAGGGAATGTGTGAAGCAATTATCTGGGAGAGCTGCCCAATCAGTTTGTGTGAGCATTACATAATGTTTGAGACAATGTATTTGTCTCACTACAAGCTCGGTGTGCCTTTGTGCCATGTCCATGGCCTGGAATGGAGCAGCCATTTTCACTTGGCATTTTCACTTCATTTTCACTTACAGGATTCAACATCCAGCTAAGTGGCAGTAACTTCCAAACTCAGTCCAGTACAACTGTGCCCTTTGGCACACACTGATTTTTATTCAGTGTACCTCAGTTCATTGTGTCAAGTGTAGTGTTTTTGACATTGCAAGTATAAGCTGATTTTTAATACTGACAACATCCTTGAGGTTCATTCAAATTATCATGTGATCTCTCATTTAAATTTAAATTATTTGGATTTATAGAGACACACACAGGAGGGACACTGTACAAATGCTTTTGTAAGAGTTGCCAGCAGCTCTTATTATATGTTAATTTGGGAGTCTCTGGGTCTTAACTTTCCATTTTCTCCCTTCCACCGCCACAACAGAGTGATATTTAAATATCTTCTACAAGCCAGGGCCTTCAGTTGTCTCCAAATTGACAGCTGCAGGCTGGGAAGTGTGAATGAAAGCTTGTCTGTGCTGCTGATGGCCAAAAAGTTCCAGAGAAATGCTCTGCAAAATGCAGCAGCAATGAGAAAATCTTCTCTCCCTATCCTTCAAAGCAGTCTGATTAGTTTCTTCAGCTGTCATGACTGTGATTTCTGAGCATAAGCTTGTGTGCACTGCTGTAATTTTTGTTGTTTCATGTTATGCATCATGTTATGCATGTCTCAGTGTGGCAGTCATCTCTAGTTTGGATTTGGGGGCCTCTGTCAATTAGTCCAGAACTTGATCACATTTAATCATATCCAAGTACCTGAAAGGCTTGAAAACAGGTTAGTTATATAAAAAAAATTCTGGTAAGAACTGACTGTGGTGATCACTCTTTTTTTTTTTTCTTAAAAAATATCTTGCTGCATGGTGGCCACAGCACGTATTGGTGTTGTTACCCCACAAGCTCACCTTCCTCTGGGTTGCAAAGGGAAGTTAGAAGGGTGGGTGAAACTTCTAGCAGGTGGATGTGAACTGTTTGTGGTTTTAATAAAAGCACTTGAAACCTGGGCTGCATTCCACATTCAGACACTTCGCAGGTGCCAGTCACTATGGTGACAAACTCACCAAGACAGGCTCATTAGAAGACTTTGCTTTTGATGGATGTTTGTCTCAAAAATTCAGCAGTTCTTTCTTTTCTGACCCTTTATCTACCATAATCAGATAACTAATATTCTTTGTGGTAGTGCCGTACGGCAAATTTTGACATAATATGTCAGAAATAGAGTGGGTTACAAAACTCGTCTAAGAAGCTGGAATGCAGTAGATATTTGAACAAAGTGGTAAGACATTTCATTGCTATCTCTGAGTTGTTGAATGGCCTTTGGAAAGTGGAGAAATGATACAAGGATACATCTCTTGAAAGTATCAAGCAATGTCCCATGTTTTGTCTAAAATACAGCTCTGAATATGGCCTGTGGTCATAGTAGTCATCATTGCAGCATGAGCAGTGTCCATATTCTGCAAATCAAAATTCCTTGAATACCTCCTGTTTAGCTCTATATATTAAAATTATTTGAATATTCATATTTCTTCATGAAAGCCTCTAGAATCCTGATACCTACAAATTTCAAAATGTATTTTTATTTTTACTCACATTAAAGTGTGCTGTTGAGATGTTTTTTACATCTTTCTGATCTTTTGAGCAGCATAAACCTTCTTGGTCTTCAAGGTACAAGCTTCACTCCAACTGCTATTGTTAGTAAATTGTGCTGATAAAGGGAAACAGTGAAGTTGTAATTAATTCCTATACTAAAAACTAGGAACTCTTCCAGAGCTATAGAGACTGCTCTGCTTATGTAGGCTTTGTATGTCCATACACCTAACTCCTCTGCAATTTATGAAGAGAAGTAAATGATTCCCATTCTGAATTCTTCTCTTGGCTAGGTATTCCTGTCCTGGATAACCACTGAGACTGCTAATTCCCACTAGTAAAGCCCTGAGGCCAGCTTTATTTCACATCCTGTCTGGCTACACTTGCTAAAATGTCCTGCAGAATCCACCTTATCTGCAGTGTTACATAAAGTGGATTCCAGCAGAAGGAACTTGACTTGCTAAGTGTAGGCAGAACTGTTAAGTGAATGTGCAGCTTAATCCGTTTCCTTGTACTTTGAAGGGCTGTAGGAACACTCAAGAATTTTTAATTTATAAAAGTGTGCACATGGTAAGAAGGGGCTGACAACCTACAGCTGGGACATGGCATGAATGGAAAGGTAACACCTGGACCATCTGAAGAAGACCAGACTAGTCTGACTTTAGAATATCAGACTAGTAGAGCTGAGATGAAGTTTATTAGGAGGAGCATGTGGCAAAGCTCTCAGATGTGGTAACAAGAACGCTGCTGCTACCTGTGAGTTCAGTAATTTGAGAGAAGACCCAAGTGTGTGTTCTACTGCAGGTTGGCTACTGAGCATCCATTTAATGCAGCCTCAGAAAAGGATGAGGTTTGACCATTCCAAGCTTCTCACAGGATCTGAGCTGAAAGAGCTGTCTGATCATCTCTCTTCACAAACGATGCACTACACTGTATATTAAGAACCTTTCTAATAAGCAGTGGTCTCTTTAACATTTGGTGTGCTTACAACAGGAAGATTTTTTTTTTTGTGTAATTTCTTGTGTTGGGCTAAATGTCAGGAAAGGAGAATCACTTTTTGTGCTACAAAAAAATTGGTCTCAATATCAGTGATCAGTAGAAGGAAAATGAGCATAATGGCATATGCAAATAATTTTAATTAAAAGTATATTTTCAAAGTTATAATGAGTTTGGTTTAAGAAAGGTTCAATGGTCCTCTTATGCAGGCTCCTGAATGAAAGCACACAGATTATTAAATTCTAAGAATTATCTGAAATTGTACACTTTTCCAATATTTATCAGTTTATTTACTTTAAAATTTAACTCAAAAAATTACTATGCATTTTCCTACATGTTCAAATATGTATTGCCAATCCTATGAATATTAACCTCATATCTACTCACTATTAAATTGCTGAAGAGGAATTTAATGTGTTACTGCAGAAGGTAGAAGGATAAGGAGACTTGAAAGCTGAATTCTGCTAGAATTTAATTCATGAACTCCATTCCTAAAAATACTATGATCTCTAGGTTTTACTGCTCCAGGCTGCAGAATTAGTCCATATGTTTGTGGGATCTGTTTTAAATAATGACAGACAGCTGATTACTAATATTATCTGGTAACCTCTGTTTAACTGCAACTATCTTTGACTTATATCAAATTAGTAATTTATGTAGGGTTGAGGAATAAAAAAAAAAATTGCTGCTACAGAAACATGATGTAGAGATTGCAGCTCCAGCAAGGTTCCACTAAAATCTTTTGCCTTCCTGATGGTTCATCTGTGAAGACTATGGGAAGTTTGTTTTTCCTGGCCAGATGTTACCGTCCAAGACATTTTGCTTTCCAATGCTTTTTTACTGCTAACTATAAAAAATCATACCAGAATTAAATATGCATCATGCCTCCCAGAAGATTTTTTAAAAAAAGCTTTATTAAACATACACTCCTTAGAATATATTTAACAATTTCTTCCACCCTGAAGGAATCCTCAATCACACATACAAATTCTTATTTTCAGCACCAAATCAAGCATGTAAACCCGTGCTACTCACACAGTAGCTGAATGGTAACAGAAATGGACAATGGCACCTAAAATAATATGTAGAAAAGCAGCTCTCTAACAACTTAAAACTGGGTTAACATCTGCATGGCATATCAGGAATAATCACCTGTCCTGTACAACTACAGGGAGCAGCACTGAAGGCAAATCTGGTCTGTGACTATTTAACAATAAAGTAAATACCTTTTGAAGTATACAAAAGCCCCACCACTTTAGAGAATCTAAGTAGGTTAGGTACATTTCCAGGTTAATATTTAATGCTGGTTTATAGCATCAGACAGCCATCTCCATTTTAATAGGTGGATGAGGATTATAATCTTCAATCTGGAAGTCTTCTGCCTTGAAGTCGCTGATGTCTTTAATCTCATGAAGAATTCTGAGTTTGGGGAAAGGTCTTGGCTCCCTCTGAAGCTGAAATAAAAGCAAGCTTACTGTATAAAGCTAATACTTGAAAGCAGAGACTCTGTTCTCAACCTCAAATCAGATTACACTGTGTAGGCTTTCCCTTCCCACCAAGACTTACACTAAGAAAAAAGCGATGGAAGAAAATCCCGAGACAGTTAGATAGAATCTACCTTAGTATTTTCACAGGGAGTAGTAGCATAATTTTCAGGTGAATTCCCTGATCATCCAAATGCACTGCAAGTACTTTCAGATGGCAAATCAGTTCTGGTGGTTACAGATTATGTTCCTTCCAGGGGAATTAAATTAGAAAATCTGACCCAAACATGCATCAAATATTCTACAGCTTCTCACTTCTCATCGTTAGGGTCTGAATCAATAACTACTTCTCTGGATGGTTTTGAACCATACTAATAATGAGGACATTAATTCCAAGCTTAGTCTAATCAAATCAAACACTGATTTTATCCTATTGCAACAAATTACTTCCTGAAGAAAATGTAGCCTTTCTCAGCCAAACAGTATTACTGATTAACTCTGTGAATTTTAAGTGATCCTTTTCTGATATATTACAAAGACATTTTATTTTGTGTTGTTTGGACTAGGTGGAATAATTTTTGAAGTTAAAAGTGCAGATTCTGCTCTCTAACTTGGTTTTAGAGCAGTACACAGATGTACATTTCAATCATGCTTGTATTGTATTTCTGTTTGCAAACAGAAATGCAACTGAACAGATGTTAATATAATAATTAGGATAGAAATTAGAAAAAAAGCCACAAAAATTAATATCTGCAAAAGGATATTTAAAATATCAAGGCAATTGATATTTTAAATCAAGGCAGTGTGGAAGATAAAAGGATAGAATACAGAATAAGTACTTACTTGGACTTTTAGAGGTTCCACATGGTTCAGATATATGTGAGCATCTCCTAAGGTGTGTATGAACTCTCCAGGCTGAAAAGAATGAAGAATACATGTGGTTTTCAAACAGTCAGGTTCCAAGAAAGCAAAACATTACAGTGCTTACAATATTGATTCCCAGCACCTGGCTTGTATGGAATTGCCACTTCTGTATAGGACTGTATCCTTGAAAGCTGTGAAGGGCACAAGCTTCTCCATTAATGCATAATTAATGGAAAATATAATGAAATTTCCACTAGCTTACCAAAAAATTATCTTTCAAATCCTGCTATGACAGTAGCTTTGGTAAATGAACGGAACCATACTGATCTGCCCACTGACACAGAAACAGGTGCAGCAGTGACATCCAGCTTTTCCACTCCTCTTCTAGTAAGTAAAACTTGCCAAAGCTGGTTCAGAGCAGCTGCCTCAGCCACTACTAAACAGCAGTGGAGGTGTCAGGCACAGGCAAGAGGCCAGAGCTTGCAGGTCCTGTGACTTACCAACCCCTGAGCAATGGACTTTCACATGGGGAAGTTTCATCAGCTCTTTTACTGGCCTCTGACCAATGTTGATCAGCCCCCAGATATGTTACACTGAAAACCACCAAAGCCATGAGAGGAAGTGGCTGAGAGGCAACAGCTGGACATAACGTTAAACTTCACTTTTTTTAGCAGCTTGGACTAATTTCTGTGGTTGCAGTGAAGTCTGATTCCTCCCTATTGCCCTGTTTTAAGAAGTTCCACTTCATGTTGCTGGTGGCAACAGCAACAGGAGGATTAGGCACTGAAAGCCTTTCTAGTATAATTTTTTACATGCCCTAAAGAAAAGGGGGTTTTCCTGGTACAAGACTGTAATGCATTTCAGTTTCTCTGCCAAATTACAAAATACAGCTCTGAGGTCAGGGCAGGAGCTACTTGAGCACATATACCACTCATCTACATGTAAACATCTACAGTAAGAAATCAAAGAAATGCACAGCTGAAATTATACCTGGAAGTTAAGACGGGCAGATTATCCAAATTAGAACCCTGACAGCAACTGCTGAGCTATTGCTCACTTCTAATAAGTAATAAACACATGCTACAAAATCTCATCATTGGTATATTACTACCTCATGAGGACAAGCACTCAGTTCAGATTTCTAAGACTAATGAACAACAGGTCAGTCTTGACAGATTCAAGACATGAAAGAATCTTCTGCTTAAACTGAATTTTAAAATTCTTACCTTGCTGATTCTAACTGCCCATACAACCCAGAGGCAATTCACATCAAATTTGCAGGGCCCTTTTTTACACATATATCAGTAAGATTTCAAACAGTATGCTCATTCCAGTTTTTCTTGGACATGACATGAAGAGCCTTATCTTTCAGTCCCTCCTTTCTCAGACAAGAATAAATGAAATTATTAAATAGCCTACCTTCAGCCCTGTGACATGGGCAATCATGTACGTGAGCAGTGAATAGCTGGCAATATTAAAAGGCACTCCTAGTCCCATGTCTCCAGACCTCTGATAGAGTTGGCAAGACAATTCACCATTTAGAACATAGAACTGGCAAAGGGCATGGCATGGAGGCAAAGCCATCAGTGAGATATCTAGGAATTGAGATACAGAAGGTGGGGAGGGGAGAAAACAGTAACAGCATTAGTATGTTATAAATGTAGAAGATGCAAAACTTAAACAAGCATGTAATGAGATACAGTAGAGAGCCAACTGCTCTGTGATTCTGTTGCTTTTTCTCTTGTTTATGAGCACGTGCTGCCCAAGCAATTAAGTCCAGGTCATGACAAGCTGTCTCCTGGGCTGTATGACCAGAAAGTCATAAACAGATATTCCACAGAACAGACTTATGCCATAATGTTGCACAGCAGTTTCTTTCTACTCACCTTGGTGAGACAGCTGAATTCCCTAAAGGAAGACATTAAGACTAAAATTAAGTATATACCCTAAAGCAAATTCCAACTGCTTCATCTTACTCTCTTCCAATTGCCATGTGTTTGTTGAGATATAAAAGTAATGATAATTTGTAAAAAAAAATCAGAAACCACAAGATCTGTGTGTTTTTCTACGCTTAAAAAGTGCAGAGAGTAAAATTACAGCTTGACAAAGAAAACTTTCACCAGATATTTTCTGAGGATATTTAGCCTTGAAAATAACAGCAATAGCATGTGGCATACCCTTTCAGATAACAGTGGAAAATGCTGTGTGATTTTTTTGGCGCACAAGTCTATCACTGGTGAAAGTTAAACATTCACTTGTAGTAGCTCTTGTTTAGAAGTCTCTACAGAGTGAATAGATATCTATGTATAAATAGACCCTATCATTTGTGTGATACAGGTTCATCATATGATCCCACGTTCAAGGAGAAGATTACAACACAAATAATATTTTTGTTCTCTAGCTTTAAGGGTTAAGTTTACAAGACATTACATGGCTAAAAGCCAGACATATTCCTTTAATATAATTTTTATGTTTTGGGTTTTTCACCTTTTTAGAATAAGAGTTACTGTCTTCGAATAGACTGTATGTCAAAGACACTGGTGTATCCCTCATTTTAACCTGGAGAGAAAAACTTTGAAGAAATTATTTTTGAGGTCTAAACATGAGGATAAAGTTGAAAGAGAATCAAGATTATAACTCCTGAATGTTTTTACTACACATATTGTAGTTTTCTAAAGAATGAACAAAGACACCTAATGGAATTGACTGCTGACACAGGAGCAGAAGATAATTTAGCACACAGCAATATAATGTGCAACCCCATTCACTTTATGCCATCTGTTCAATACCTTTGGGATTCCAAGCACACATAATGATTCTTCTGTCATCTGGATTGGTTTTGATCGTTTCAATCACTTTTTGCAACTGATCAACTCCTTGGTTGGAGTAATCTGGAGAAATAGAACAAATAAGATCTAAAGTGGACAGATTCAAGCCATGGTATTTTTTTATCACTCAGCCCATGTCCCGCTGAAAAGTGATACCCAAATGACAACCTCTGAAAATTTTATTGCAACTTTGAAACTGATTTATAAGGTGGCACCATCCAAACATAGGCTGTTCTCGGTCTTTCTTAGGATGCTCCAGAGCTTGGAAAATTCTCATGATGATATGTCTGTATGCCCACCCCCATATATTTTGTGTGCTTTGAGTACCTTTAGCACCCACTGAAATAGGACCATTCCTATTTATTCCATTTTCAACCACTTGATTTATTTTAAGACGAACTTAAAATTCTGTATAATCACTAAACCCCAAGAAACAGAAGTTGCAATGCAAAAAACTAGCTGGACAAAGCATGCTATCTTATCCCTCATGATGACTTGTTACCTAAATAGGGCAAGAGCTGTACTGGAATGGACAAGATATTATCACCTAGTCAGTCATGGTATTTAGACTGATTTGCTTTTTGCATTTCTGGATTAAAATGCCTTTCTAAACATTTAATTTGCATGCTACAGTGCTCCTTCTTATATAGAAAAAAAATTATGCCCAGACCAGTGTGCCAGCATTCTTTACACACTCAAAAGAAGAGTTTTTGACAGATGAATAAATGCATCCATCTAGCACTCTCAAGGTCATGTATGAAAACTAAATTTACATAGCATTTAGCTCCAGAAAGGAACTTTAATTATGTGTAGCACAGGATATTACATTTCACCCAATGACACAGGCTGAATTTTAGGCTCAATACCAGTTGTGTAAGAAATTTTCTGAAATTAACTGACCATAGAATGGATTTCAGAAAAAAAAAGTCATTAGTTGTTAATCATTGTTCTGACTCATGCCAGTCAATCAGCATGGCTGGTAACTACTTTTTTCTAATAACTCTTTTTGCAGCAACACCAAATTATGGTTACAGGGAGACCCAAGCTGCAAAACAAGGTAGCAATACACAATTAGCATCTCAGGGAACTCTTTGCCAGCAGTACCATGCCAGAAGCCTTGTCAAATGGTCATGTTAGTTCCTGAAGCTACTTACCTATCCTTTAGTAATGCAACTTAAGGAAATCTGTTTGTAAGGAAAACCATGGGAATTTATCTTGTTCATTTTCTCCATGCTATGCTGTACCTCAAGACTTTCTAAGATGAGAAACTGTAAGTTTTCAGATGTGCCAGTTCATAATTTGCATCATTTGTGTTACCATAAAAATGTATCCTGCTAGTGGCCAACATGCCAATACTAAGAGTAATATCAGCAATTCATTGTGAGCTGCAGTTTGAGGCTGTACTGAAAATAAAACAAAACAAAACAAAATGAAAAAAAAACCACACAAAAAAAACCCCAAGAAACCTCATCTAGATAATTACCCATGTTGTTAATCCACATTAAAAAAAATCACACCAGATAGTGACAATCTGGTTTCTGACACCTTTTTCTTAATGGCAGTCCTCTAAGCATTTTCTATAGCCTCTCCTGCAGAGACTTGGAAAAGAGGAATCAATGCATTTGAGAGTCAGTTTAATAAACCAGTTCCACTGAAAATACCAACAGGTACTGCATCACATCACAACTTGTCACAGCTGTTCTGCCCACAGCATCATCAGCGGTGGAAACACCCTACTTTGTTCAGATGGAGAATGGAAAAATCTTTCTCTTCACTGCCTCCAGTGAATGTAGTGTACTGATGCCAGTTCTTCCCAGCACAACAATTTCATGGACCCTGCACTGGTATAGAGAGATGGCAGCCTGTGTTCTGTTATCAAATGGAGCTAGCTCAGGTTTCTGGACTGCAGCACACACATCCTTCCAGCTATCAGCAACCACATCTGCCCTAGGTAACAGAGTAACAGTGTGTGCCTTGTGACTCATCTGTTCCACAAATACCAACTATAGTATACAAAGCTACATCTTTCAGGATAATTAAGATTGAGGAAGGAAGAAAGTTCAATTAACTCTCTCAAACACTCTTTATTCTGGCTATCAGCTTGCTCTCTATGGTTAAGAACATTCCATTCCACACAGGCTTCTGGAAGTGATGTGTCACAGCTGTCTCACTGAGCACTCAAGACTGTATTCGGATGTGATTACCTGTATGCATATCTTTGTATTCTGCTCCAAAATGCCTCCACTGGAAACCATACACTGGTCCCAAATCACCCTCCTCTCTGGTGCTGAAGCCCTGCTTATCCAGGAACTCACGGGACCCATTGGCATCCCAAATCTTCACACCTTTTGCAGAGAGCTCTTTGGCATTTGTAGAACCCTGCAAAACACAGTGAGAAGTCTGCATCCTAATTCCAACACAGAGGGCATGATTTAGAACAGTTGTATAAAGCTTTGCTAGTGCACAGAATTTCTCCACTCATAAGGGATGAACAGTGTAATTAATGTACTGCATGAGGTCCTTGCACACAGACAGAACAAAACTTGTGAGCACCACACTGGGATGGAGTTTGAAGTGCCACACTGCTGCTGTTTAACTCAGGATTCTCACACTTTGTGAATGCACAAACAGCCTCAAGGTCAGCTGCGGAACGTCATTTCGTATTTGCAGAGAACAAGATGTTACTTTACAGATTGATGAAAATAGGCCAACAAAAACTGTATGGCCTAGGCACGGTCTTTTCCAAGCTACCTATAATAAAATTATGGTCTTAAAAATCCTTTTGTGAAAATGAGAAAAATGAGAAAATAACCCAGAAAAATGTCACTGAATCCTGCAAGATGTCCAAATCAGCACACTCAAAAATCCAACACAGAAATTATGCTGGTTTGGGGAGTGTCTAGTCTTTTCCATTAAAAAGAAACAAAAACCAAAAACTAAACCAAACAAACAAACAAACAAACAAAAACAAAACCAAACCCAAAACAAAACCAAAAGCTTTTAAAAAATCAATTTGTATTAGAGTCCTGCTATCTAGCAAATGTAGGACTAGTAAATTCTCCCACACTTGCACAATATCACAACATAGAAAGGAACACTTACATTGTAATGAACTAACTATAGCTGAATTTTATTATACTAGGTACAGCTATTTGCTCTATTAGATGTCAATTTTTTGCTATTAAAAAGTCTAGCATTTACATCAGTCTTACTTCACCCGTGGTTCCACACTGCTTGTTTCTGTTCAAGTCAAGCTACTTCAATATTAAAAAGCAGATCATTAAATTGCTTACTAGCTGTCTCATATTATTATTTCTGATTAAAACACAAAGAAAAGACACTGCATTAGGTGTTGTAGCTGTGGAGTATATTCAAATTAGTCCAAGCCCTCACTATTTCAAATTTTCTCCTTTAAGAAGAACTAGAAGCGAAACTGTTCTGATTGCACTGGTAGCAATAGTCTGTACTAAATAGCAGAATGTCTTGGTGATAACGACCTTCCATGTGGGGTCACAGTATCAGGGGGTTGCATTTCTTCTGTAAAAGGAACAGAAGCGTCTGCAGTTACCCAAATGCATTAATCCACTGCCCAGCAGTTGGTTCTGTTCATGCCACTCCGGGCCCACCACCCACAGAGACACCCAAATACCGAACCTTGATGAACCACAGCAGCTCCTCCAGCACTCCCTTCCAGAACACCCTCTTCGTTGTCAGCAGCGGAAACTGATCTGCAAAAGAGTTCCACTAGCCATTGCCAGGGTGAGCAGACTTCGCCTTTTCCCCACACAGAGGACAATGCCACCCCTGACATTGTGAGGGTGGGATATGAAACAAAGAGTTCGGATGTGTAGCTCCCATGGTCAGACCCCTCGGGTGGGAGGGAGCGGGACAGGCCCGGCGTGTGAGACCCCCACACATAGCCCGGCTCAGGGCGGGGGCAGGGGCAGGAGCAGGGGCAGGAGCAGGGGCAGGGGCAGGGGCAGGAGCAGGGAGCAAGCTCAGGGGCTGGGGTCGCGGCGGTGCCCACCTCTGAGGCTGTACCGCGCCTGCATGCCGAACACGGAGATGGTGCCGGTGCCGGTGCGATCCTCTCTCCGGTGGCCGTGCTGCAGGATGTGCCGCACCTGCTGCAGGTACTGCTGCTCGCCGGGCTCCGGGCAGGCGGCGGGGCCGCTCAGCAGCTCCCCGTCGGCGGGCATGGCTGGCGAGCGGCTTCTGGGCTCCGGCTGCGCGCCTCTGCCGAGCCCGCCAAAGCGCGGAGTTCCCGCCAAAGCAAGCCCGGAGTTCCCGCCAAATAGTGCCGAGGGGCGGGCGGGGCGGAGCGGCACCACCGCCACCTCCTCCCCTGCCCGGCCCCTTCCCTTTCCCCCTCTCTTTCCTCTTCCAGGCCCGGGGGTCCTCAGCGTCGCCGCGTCCGCAGCCGCCCGCCCTCTGTGGGCCTGCACGGAGCTGCTGCCCCTCAGGGAGGGCTGGCCCGAGGCAGTGCCCCGAACCATACCGGCTCCTTTAGGCTTTATTTTAGGAAGAGTTTCTTCACAGAAAGGTTGATTACATATCAGAATGGGCTGCCCTGGGAGGTGGTGGAGCCACCATCCCTGGAGGTGTTTGAGGAAAGACGTGGTGGCATGTAGTGCCATGTTCTAGCAGACAGGGTGGTGTTCCGTCCAAGGTTGCCCCCAGTGAGCTCAGAGGAGCTTCAGTCTTTTTGTACTTGATTGACTGCGTGATTCTGTGATTTCATTCTGCCCTAGTGGCGCCATGAGCGTTCTCCAGGCTCATCCCGTGCTGGAAAGTGCTGTTGACATTCGTCATCTCTCTCCCTCTCTCTGCAGCCTCAGGCACCCCCTTTCGGAGCTGAACAAGACCAAAGCCTTCAGCTGGGCCTGGCAGGCTGCACACATCTGGCACTGGATCCCTCCAGCCGGGATATCCCAAAGCCCCTGTGCCAGCCTCCCTTGTCTCCCCTGCTGTGGTGGCCCTGCAGTGCCATGCCCCATGCACAGCTCACCTTCCATGTCCAGCAGTGTCACTCTGACCTGAGCTTCCAAAACCAGGTTCCTTTCATGCCATGCCATGCCATGCCATGCCATGCCATGCCATGCCATGCCATGAGCTTCCTGCTTCATATTTTATTGGCACATTTGCTGCTCACTAAGGGTAGTCCTCGTCACTTGGGTTTATCGTGTCTCATCATGTTCATCTCAGCTTCTCCCATGTCCCAGTGTCATTTTGCATCCCAACCCGTGTCTGATGGCAACTGTTCCCAACATGGTGTCCTCTGAAAATTTTCTGCATATAATCTCTGCTAGTCAGAAGAAACTGATTCTTCTCTGAATATTTAATCATTAGTATCTCTTGGAAGTCAAGAATTTCCTAAGAGTCACTTATCTCTGAGATAAAGCCCAGCTTTCTGACAAGTGACATGTTTATGTTATGTTATGACTGATAATCTCTCACGATTAGGAGCCTGAAATACAGGTATATATGAAGGAAGCTAAGGACCACAGAGGACTGTGGATTAGAAAATGCTACCTTGCTTTGCAGCATGCAGAAAATAATCTCTTCCACTAATTAAAAGAGTGAAATAGCTTTTTTCTTGTATAGATTTGTATACTTAACTTGTATGTAAAGAAATAAAGGAAAACATACAGTGTAAGTAGGGTGTGGATATTTTTCTCTGCTCATATCTGATAAAGATGAATTTGTACATTTTGAAATTAGCATACTTCATTTAGCAGAGCTACAGTTAGAAATGGTGCGTGTACCTGTGTGCAAAACACACTTATAAAAGCTTTGCATGGCAAATGATACCAAATCACCTAGAGGTCTGCTTCTAGCTGAGAGATATATCAGTTCTAGAACTTTATTATAATTTACAAATACCATTGAAAGCTGATGTGTATAATTTAGGGAGAAACAAACTTCTTTACTGATAAAGGCTTTTAATTAATTAAGAAATAAACTCCAGAGGCAGACTGCTGTTTGTAAGAAATGCCAAAGGCAGAAGACTTACTCATTAGTGCATATTCAGATAAGTAATTTAATGTACACAATAAGCATCAAAAGCAACTGGAAGAAAAAATTGAATATTTTCATTGCAAAATAATATGCTACATGCAGATGGAAATCTGGTTGATTCAGACTTAGCTGAATGTGCAACATCTGTAGGAATCAGTCTTGAAAAGGCTTGAGAATGTGCTTGAATGTAAGAATGCAAATAGAAATTACTTTTATGCTTACAGCTGATTATATCCTTAAATCTTTGCATAACCAGAGCCATGACTTGTTATCAAAGATTACCTTACTGGCAACATAAATAACATTTTATTTAAATAAACTAATACTGAAATGGATTTGGTTTGAGGTTTGAGTTTAAAGATTTCTACAGTCTTTGGTTGATAGCTTATATGTCACAGTATTTACTAAGCAACATTTTATTTATATGCAACTATTTTAACCATAGAAATTCAACACTTAGCTATGCTGAGCATAGGGGTAGTTCAACTGAGGAGCATATACTTTATTTCAGGAAGAAAGAATTCACACTTCTTTCCTAGGAGAAAAAAAAAAAAAAAAAAGATTATACATTTTGGTTTTGAATGGAGAAAAATATGTTAGAAAAGTAAGTATATGTGGAATGTACCAGTGTCCTGCTATAGAAACATGCATAACATAAAAACCAGACAGAAACTTTTCTTTTTCTCTCCCTTTCTGTTCTCACCCAGTTTTCTTGTGGGGTTTTGACTCTGTTTTTATCCATTACATTTTCATGTGCTCTAAGCCTTGTGCAAACTGAATGGTGTGATTTTGAAATCAACACTGCTTACTTTTCCCAGGTATTAAATGGGTACACAGATATGCCCACAGGAAAATCAGACTAAGATTCAGGCTAAAAATCATCATCAAACTACAGAAATAATTATTGCCATCATCGGGCCCTGAAGATTATTATTCCATAATCTGAAAGAGTATTTATCATTTATATTTACAACTGCATATAAATTACAGAGAATTTTGAAGAAAAAATTGTAGAGAAAGTGTTGGAGCATTTTATTTCAGATGTTTAAAAATATCAACAAGTAATTTCACCAACATTTACCTAAGCAAAGTACATGGTTTATTCTGTCTAAATTCTGCAGCCCACCTCAGCCTCTCTGGTGGGAATGATTTCTTTCATCTGCTCAAAAAATGTGTCTCTGACCTCAAAAGAATAGGCAGATTTAATACAAAATGCTGAAATCTTCTTCATCTACTTTGTTAACATTGAATGCTCTTTCCCTGCCTCCTGAGACTTTTCCTTGTGTGCAGGTCATGCTTCAGTTGCTCAGTTGAGCAATCAGCTATGACCTAAGAGAAACTGTTCAAATCTGGTCCTTCTCAGAAGATTTGGGGACACTGCAGTGATTTGCCTGAAAGTCTCATGTGTCTTGTGGCTCTGTTCCCCTGGAAGAGACAAGTCTGAGAGTCAGAGGCCACTACAGCTGTGCATCCCAGAGTCCCCTTGGAAGGGAAACACAGGGAAGGGTGGTTTACAAGTTTCACAGTAGTGTGATGCCACCTAAAACCATTCCCTCTTTCTTGGGAAATTCCCTGTGGGATTAGAGGATATGAAGCATTTGTCCTCCCTGCCTCTCTGCCTGGTTTTTCCTTCCTCTTCTTGAAATGTCATAAACAAGAAGAGAGCCTTCTTGTATGTCCTTTTTACAAAAATGGTTGAAGCCCATGAGCAGGATCTTTCTGTGCATGATCCTGCAAGATGAACTGAAGCCTGTATTAATAAACACTGTTAATCTGAGCAGTGTGCTGCTAATGCAGAGATATTATGGCAAGACAGCTCTTCCAAGTCCTGGTGGTGATTCTCACTTTGCCCTCCTTTATCATCAAAAATAATATGAGCATGCTCTCAAACACTACTGAAAATTTAAAAAAAAATCCAAAAAACATAATGAATAGTGGTAATTCCAGTCCATTCATGATGAATGAACACAAAGACATGGTTTTCAATGCCAAGACACTGGACTGTGGTTGTGAGGCAATTCTTTTGTGAAGAAATATTTATTATCACATTACCTCATCCCAGCTGTTACTTAAAGATTGGGGGTTTCACAGACATATAAGTCAAATCATTTAATATCATCGTGTCTGTGTTTTGCAGGCAAGAACATTGAGTGTTTGTTTGTGTTTTCCATAATGCTTGTGTTTTTCTCAATGTGTCCTTTCTGAGAAGGCAGTTTTGTATACACCATGAATGGATCCTGTTCCAACTAAAGTTTATTGCAATGTAAACACCTCTTATGAAGAAGTGTGTTCTCTGTGAAAGCAGAAAGAATGAACTTACCACTTAAAAATTCTGCTTATACAATTGGAGTGCTTTCCCAGCTATGTATTCGATGAACTCAGGACTCTTGGGATCTAAGTTGGGAGGAACTTTAATGGTGAAAGTAGGTGAAGTCAGAACGTTCACATCTACCACAGTTTCGTCTTTACTGGAGGGATCTCCAGGTACCACCTAGGAGAGATCAGTACTTTAGACACCACAAACTGCTGTGTGCTTTCAGTTTTGTTTATACCTGCTGTGCCCACTCTCTTTAACAGGGGAAAATTAAATAGGGGAATATTTTAGACTTGCCTACTTTCTTTAAATTGCTTTCTTCTCAAAAGACAGTGGGTGTCTGAATTCATGTAGGTGGTGGAAAGAGCTGACATGGCACTGCCAAGACCATATTAAAGAACAGCATGTTAATATTTGTATCATGGGCTACATCTATAAAGAGCTTCTGTTCTCCTAATGAAAACTTCTGAGCTGTCCCACTAAGTTCAATACAACATTTGTGTGATTGAATTTATTCATTTCTGTGTGTTTTTCTAAATCAGACTTAGTTCTGTAGCTTTATTTTCCTAGAACAGATATCTCAGACTCAGTTGGGAAAATGTGCCTGTCGCCTGTTCCTATTTTGTGCTTTTTTTGGTGAATTGTACCACTATTTTGTATAAAGTTCTGATAGTAATAGTAGTAATTCACTATATATAAGTGGATTTCTGAGTTAGAAGAGAGAAAAAGATTTGTCCCTTGCCCAGGAAAATGGATTGAATTTACCTTGGATGTATCTTTGTGTGTGAGACACAATTAATCATTATGTATTTACTGAAATATTGGCCAGTGCTGTCAAGCATGTGCAGCTTCCACTGCAAAAATCTGTATAACATTTGCCTTCTTTGAACTTTGGAATATGTAGGTACAGACACACAGCTAGACATTCATCCATCTAATGTGGATGTGTCAGTGACTGGTGCAGTGCAGTTTATCTGTGAAGGTAATCTGAGGCCAGTCAAAGCTGCTAGTGTCAATTTACTCTTATCAGACAGTGATTCAGGTTAGCCTGTCAGCTATCCATCACACTAAAGGGATTTAGAGGAAAATAGTTTCTAATCTCAGGAGTTTCAGCTCATTGAGGGATTACCAAGCACACACAAATTCAAGATGAGTAGGAAAGTCATGTTGTAAAGCTAAACATTTTACATGTATGAACATCCAGAGCCCTCAGGAACGTAAACATGAGCAAAAGGCAGTTTAAAGGCAGCAATAGCTCCCTTCAGAAGACAACCCTTACCTTAACTATGTTGAAAATGTTTTCTGGTCCAATGGTCATGTTGGACAGCTCAGACACCCACCCAAACCTTTCTTTCATTTTGTTCAGCAAGTAGGAAGTGTCCTCCGTGTGATGCCGAACGACCTGGAGAATCTGCTCGTACTGCTCCCCTGAGAGATTAACCAGCTTAAAGGCTTCATCAAACTTTATGTGCAGCTCAGGAACGTTTGGGCAATCTGTTAGGAAAGACAGTGTTATGTCTTGTTCTTTGTCTTTTCTGTCTGAAGAAATGAAAACTGTAAAAAAGCCTAGCAAAGGGGCATGGTTTGGATGGGTCTTCAAATAATGCTGAAAAAAAGGAGAATAATTTTTGCTTATTGATTATGGTAGATTTAGTTTAGACTCAATGACTAAATGAATGTATTATGCCATTTATTGTATCAAAGTCATTTAGCAAGTTTATATCATATAATACATAAGGTTTATATAATATTTCATCACAATAGATTTTTTGTTAATGCTAAATAAGATCTGGTAAATTTTACATATAGCAATTTCATAGTCTTCTTATAGGTTATGGGTTCTTTTATTGGCTCATATTCCGTTATGAATCTATCCCAGGTATATAGACTCCAAGGCAGGGGCTGAGGAAGCCAAGTTCCTTCCACTGTAAAAGAAGTTTTAAGTCCACATGAGGAACCTTAACCTGTCTAGGTCTGTGGCACCTGATGAATTCAGAGGCAACTGGCTGATGTAGCCACTCTCCATGATATTTGAAAAGTCATGGAAGAGAAGGGAGTCTCTGGTGATGAGGAAAATGGAAATATTTCACTGATTTTTTTGAAAAAGGATTGTAAGAAGGACCCCAAGGACTACCACTCTGTCAGCCTCACCCCTGTGCCTGGAAAAATCGTGGAACAGACCTTCAAGAAGCTCTGCTTAGGCACATGGAAGATAGGGAAGTGATTCAGGACAGCCAGCAGAGCTCCACCAAGGGCAAGTCCTGCCTGACCAGTCAGTGGCCTCCTATGATGGAGTGATTCCATCACTGGACAAGGAAAGGGTTGGAAAAGTCATTTATCTGTACTTCTGTAAGGCCATTGACACAGTCCTCCACAGCATCCTTCTTTCTCCCTAAACTGGAGAGATAAGGATTTGATGGGTGGAATGTTTGGTGGATGAGGAATTGTATGGATGGTCATACCCAGAGGGTGGTGGTCAATGTCTTCATGCCAGATAGACATCATGTACAGTTTGGTGTCCCTTGGGAGCCCGTACTGGGACCAGTACTGTTTAAGGTCTTCATCAGTGACAGGGACAGGGGGATCGAGGGGAAGCCTGCAAACTTGGCAGGTTCACAGATGACACCAAGCTGAGTGGTGTGGTTGACACACCCAGGGGATGGGATGGGATGCCACGCAGAGGGACCTGGACAAGGTCCAGGTCATGAAGTAGGCCCAGGTGAACCTCATGAGGTTCAGCAAGGCCAAGTGCAAGGTGCTGCACCTGGGTCGTGGCAACTCCTGCTATCAACACAGGCTGGAAGATGAACAGGCTGAGAGCAGCCCTGCCAAGAAGGACTTGGGGGTGCTGGTGGATGAGAAGCTGGACATGAACTGGCCATGTGTGCTCACAGCCCAGAAAGCCAAACACATCCTGGGCTGCATCAAAAGAATCACAGCCAGCAGGTTGAGGGAGGTGATTTTGCCCCCCTACTCTTCTCTCATAAGACCCCTGAAGCACTTCATCCAGGTGTGGATTCCTGTATTGGTTTGGCACAGCCTGGTTTTATGTAGCAGGGGGCCCACAAAGATGGCTCCTGTGGGAAGCTGCGGGAAGCTTCCCACCATGTCTGGCAGATCCAGAGTTGATGGCTGTGAAGACGGCCAAAACCGGGCCAATGAGAGAAGTTGTTAATGCCTCTGTGATAACATATTTAAGAAGAAAAACAAAGTCAGGGGATTTTGCTTCTAGTCAGAGAAGAGGAGGAGGTGAGAATATGTGAGGGAAACAACATGGAGACACCATGTGGATGGAGAAGGAGGGGAGGAGCTGCTCCAGGCACCAGAGCTGAGATTCCTCTGCAGGCCGTGGTGAGACCATGGTGAGGCAGCTGTGCCCCTACAGCTGTGGGGATCAGCGGGGGATGCAGAGATCCACCCACAGCCCATGGGGATCCACAGGGATGCAGGAATCCTCCCACAGCCCATGGGGGAGGTGCCCATGCTGGAGCAGGTGGATGCCTGGAGGAGGCTGTGATCCAGTGGGATATCTGGTGGAGAGAGGCTGGAGCGGCCTGTCCTTGGAGGACCCCATGGGAAGAGAGCCATGCCACAGCAGTTTTGGGGGGACTGTCTGCCCATGAGGGGAGTTCATGTTGCAGCAGGTGCAGTACAGCTGCTGCTCGTGGGAGTGGACCCACACCAGAGAAGTTCACCAAAAACTGTCTGCTATGGAAGGGACCTCACAACCTCACAGGGGAAGGACTCCTCTACCAGAGAAGAAGGAAAATCTTGGTGGTGGACTGACCAAACCCCCGTGCCCTGCACTGTTGGTGGGAAGGAAAGAGGGGCTGGGGGAGAAGGTGTTTTAAGGGCTTATTTTACTTCTCATTACCCTCCTCTGGTTCTGTTAGTAATAAATTTCACTTTGTAACAAAATCTGAGCCTTTTTTGCCCTTGAAGTTTTTTCTCCCAGTCCTTATCTCACTCATGAAGCCTTCATTAATTTTTTTCTTTTTCCTCCTTTGCCCAGCCGTGGCAGGGGAGGGTGAGCAAGCAACCCTCATGGGTGCCTGGCATTGGGCCAGTGTCAAACCACAGCAGCTCCTCAGCACAGAATGGACCTGTTGGAGCAAGTCCAGAGGAGTGCCACAAAAGCTGTTAGAGCCTGGGAGCACCTCTCCTATTTATTAGGATGGGCTGAGAGAGCTGGGGTTATTCAGCCTGGAGAAGAGAAGACCCTGGGGACGCTTATTGTGGCCTTTGAATATAATCTGTGACCATCAGCTACTGAAGGGTGCCTGTAAGAAAGATGGGGACAAGAGGTAATGATTTTGAATTGAAAGTGGGTGGATTTAGATTACATGTAAGCAAGAAGTTTTTACAATAAGTGTGGTGAAACAGTGAAACAAGTCGCCCAGAGAGCAGGTAGATGTCCCATCCCTGGAAACATTTAAGGTCAGGTTGTATGGGGCTCTGACCAACATGATCTAGATGAAGATGTCCCTGCTGATTTCTGGGGAGTTGGTCATCTAAACCAAGGTCCCTTTAACCCCACATTATTATATGATTCTGTGATAGAGGTTATGACAAGAAAGCCTGTATTCTTGTGGAGTGTTAAAACCTAATATTTATCTTACAATAGCTAGACAGTAGACTAGCACCATCTGCCACAAATTCAGAACTGAAGACTGCTGGTATTTTCTTTACTAAAATATGGATTTAAACAAGAAAAATTTCTATGCAATAATTTCTTTGTAAAAATTCAGCTTCTGTTCTGTCAAATTGGATTATCAAGGGGCACCTTCCAGCTGATGGTACAGTAACAAACTGTTTTCCTTAATACATGGGTGTAGATAAAAAGATAAGTGGTCAGATACACACTGATAAACACTTTTAAAAGTATTTCATTGTTCATTAATGTTTGCCCCTCTGGAGATATTCTGAAGACATTTAAATTTAAGCATTAGGTTTAGTGCTTAAATGCTTTTAGATTTTAAGATCGAAATAATTCTGGAAAGACAGGTATGTTATGCTGCAGTAGGAGTCCTGATTGGCAGTTCTGGGTGATCAGTCTGAAGGTTTTTCAGGTGCCCATGGACAGTGCTGACAGAGCTCTGCCATCTCCTTATTTACTGACATGAAGTCCCCTTTTTGTCCTTCATGTCATTTCTATCTGCAGACAGGGTTCAACAAAAAGTAATTACAGGCTCTTCAGCGCTTGCTTTCATTGCAAGGAGCTGAATGATACCTGTGGTTACCCCTGCTTGTCAGCAGGAGAAGCGACTGTCGGGAGTTTGAGCTTCTCCTCAGTTTCTGCTCAGCACTGCTGCACCCAGGCAGGATCGACTGCTGCCTGACATCTTGCTTCTCTGCAGGATTGCAGCTCTAACAAAACACCTATGTATTCTGTTACAGGCTGTGGGACGTCTCTTTGGAGCGCCAGCGGTGTGTTAAGAACTGAGCTATACTGACACTCTGTGGAGACAGCGGGGAAAGCTAATTGAAATCATCTGGAATGAGGAGGAATGGTTACTGTAGCCGTGGTTACAGTAAAAACTCGGTGACTATGATAAATGTTAATTCCAGTAGATAATTAAAACCTCAAAAATCTATAAACCAGTAATCAATGCATTACAGAAAGAAAAAGGAAAAAAAAAAAGAGAATAGTTATTTACCATGCAAAAGATTGTCTTGACATTTCTGGCATCTCTCATGGAACTGCGGGCATCCAGAGGAGTTCTCCCGGAGCTCCCTGCACTGAAGTCTCTGGCGCCCTGACACAATTTTTGAAAACATGCCACTTCTTTCAGGATCTAGAATGAAGTCATAGTATTTTTAGACTGCTGTTAAACTTAGAGTCTTTATAAGTATGCATTCATTACCGAGCCTGAGTGCTAGAATATAATTTCTTGTCCTTAATCCAAAGTATTTTGCATAAATCCCCTTCCTTACCCCTCCACTTCCCCTCCGCTCCAAAAAAGTAAAAGGAATAAATTATTAAAAAGTAGAAGTCAAGAGAAGATTCAAATAATATTTTCTTTCAAGGAATTCTTGCTGTAGCATATTCCTTTATAAAGACTTAGGAGTGTATTCCCCAGACATAACCAAAAAATTGCTAATATTATTATGCGTTATTGCTACAACATGTGAGTTCTGGTAAGATCTTTTTGACCCTTAGAAGTCAAGATGTTTCATAATCACATACAGTTACATGAGAACACAGTACCAAGTCCATTTCTGAGGTAACAGGGCTAATGATATAGAGAAAAATGTAAAAACAATGTTCAAGAGTCACTTAACTTTGTATTTCCTGATGAGCACGTAATGTTCATGTCACCTGCCACTCAGAGTTATGGCATGTGCTCACTGTGATTTCCCTGTAGACAAGGACCAGCATGTATTTGTCCTGTTAGCAATAGTCAAATATTAGGCTTATTTGTATTCTAAAAGTCAGCCATGGTCATTTTCCTTCACTGAGTGTCATAACCAATGGTATGCCCAGAATTTTCTGGTCACTGGAAAACCTGATGGCTGGTCTTTGATTAGCTGGTATTTGATTGTCAAATTACATTGCTGCTGTAGCCTGAAACAGCACTTGCAGCTGTCAAGCTGAAGTTAGCATCATTTGGCAAGGGCAGAGATATGCCTTGACATCTCACAAAATTACCCTAATTTTTTAGAATTGGTGACCATGTCAGTAAGAAATGATACAAATCATATCCTGACAAATGCTGAGATTAAATCTGTCAGTCAGCCTCATGAAAACCTGCATCCACCCTGAATTTAAGTGCTCCTGAGGAGCACTTAAAGAATTGCCATGAAAATCAGGCTGCGTAGGACCCCTAAGTCCCCCTGCAACATTCCTCTGAGATTTCTAGGCAACTTCTTTCTGTGCATTTAACTGATAGCTACCCTTGACCCACAGCCTCCAGAGTTTCCTTACGTATCTCACACTCATGCTGGAAACTGAGTAATTCACTGTAGTTTAGCCATCCCAAGGGGGTTGATGTCATTGACAGAGCAGTCAATTTTCATCTTCTAACACTTGCCTTTGGTTTGTTCTGGCACATCTCTTCTGTAATCTCTGTATTCATCAAACACATCAGTGATCACCTCGCTGACACCTTCGAACACTGTCCTGCTGAAATCAAAAACTGTCTGTAAAAAGCCAGGCACGCCCCAGCCTCTCTGGGAGCCTTCAGTTCTGGTGGTGACCTCAGGTAAAGCTGGCATACTGGGGGACTCACTCATTTCCAGGTCAGACATGAAATAAGTCTGAAAAGACTGGTCAAATTCTTTTTGCATGTGCTTGAAAAAAATGAAACTTCTGTCAAATATTGAGCCCACATCCGATAAAAGCTGGCTAAATAAATCTTCCATCTTTACTAGCTGGGTGTCTTCTTTCTCAGGCTTTTCATTAGATTGGATGTCTCTTCCTTGCTCCTCATGAAAAGTAAATATGAGTGGAGGTATTTTCCTCAAAAAATCTTCAACCTGTGTGTAAGAAAGATATAGATCAGGAGAGAAAAGTTACTGGTTTCTCATCTCTCAGATAAGTGTCTCTAATTTTTCAAATACTCAAAGAAACAATGCCCTCTTAATAACTGCCAACACAGCATATTCTCTGAAATAATTTAAGAGAGTAGACCCCAAAGAGGAGAAGTGCATTCAATCTAAATCATTAATTCCAAATCAGATCTGGAGTAAAACTTCTGCCAGTCACCCTTTAATCTGTGGGAGCTCAAAGTTATTGTCAGCATTTGGGTTTCTTCCAACAGACAGCTTGGGCTTTATGTTATGAAGATGTGAGATGCATTTCTGTCTGCTTTATGTGCAGTGTAGCGAGCAGAAGGTTCTCACCTTGATTTGTAAAAAGCCTATCCTCTCTCACCATTGGGCAAATCCTCATGTCCTTGTGTGAGTGGAAACCAGCACAATCAATAAAGCAGTGGCTCTGAGTCCATGGTTTTATCGTGTAAGAGGCCAAGTGTCAATTCTGCTGTCACAGAGTTCCAGTTCCTGGGTCTCAGCCACTGATTCCCTGCTCCCCACTCTGAGGCACTACTTTGGCCTGAGCCAATGGCATTAGAAAATGGGTAAGGGTTAAGAAGCACCTTGCTAAAACACACATATATAGATATAGATAGATATCTATAGACAGATATACATAAAGACATCTAAATATATTAATTATAAATGTGGGAATGTGTCCAATTATGTCAAATGCCCACGTTTACCAAGGAAATCATTGGCCGAGGCAACGACGTCCAGCTATGGACAACACAGGACAAACTGGACCAGGGACATGAGCTTTTTTTTATGTTCAGCACATCAGTCTCAGGACATTGTTAGACAATGGAGACAGGATGTTAACAGCTCGCTGATCCACAGGGAATGCCAAGGAGGTGGGGCATTACAGCATAGCATAAAACCATCTCAGCCTAGATTTCAGCCAGTCATAGAACAACACATATTGACAAGCATTCTATCCAATCTTATAAAACACATGCAATGGTAGTTAAAACAAAGACTGGTTCATAAGAGACAAAGAACAGAGCTCTATTCATGCTAACCTTCTAAAGATATACATTAAATAACCTTGTTGCCATCCTTAAGCTAGTTCTACAGAGGCCTATTGTTATTTGTGACGTATGCTCTACTGCTTAGAAAACTTTTTTGCTGTATTTGCAATGCTATCAAACCTTCTGTCTGAGGCCTATTCTTTTTTAACCATTTCCTAAAAACCCTCTAACTTTATGAACTCCAGCAATAAAAAACTAAAAACAAATCTTCAGCTTGATCTGACCACTAGTGCAGCTTAGAGGGTAGGTGAAGTGTGAAACAGCACTGCAGGAACAACCTAAGCAAGTACTGCTCCTGCTGTCTGTGTGTCCTCAGCTACAGCTATCATTTTTTCTTTTCTTTCTTTTTTTTTTTTTAAATAACTTTGGTTATAACACAGCTCTTACTTTGAATGCTTCAAGTAAACCAAGTAACTGATGAGGGATGTGTCCAAGAGGGTCTAAGATGGGGACAATGCAGTGTATAACTTTTACTGCAGTAATTGCAGCATCTACAGACTCTTGAAAACCCAAAACATTTATATGAGCCACCCATGAGTGATACCTAAAAAGCTAAAAGTATCACAAATAGTTTTAAATTTAATATCTCCCACGTTTTAACCTGAATTATTTTAAGAATATGCACAAATATTAAACACCTGTGCTCTAAACCCTGCCTGAAACACCACATTTAATGTTAAAGTTATTGTATTTTTCAGTACATGGGAGGGGTGAAAGATAGAGAATCTGGCTGACATTTTAGTAGCAGCAATTACAGTTCTGCTTCAGAAGTTTGTTGCGCTTAAAGTGTATACCCAAACAAAAAAATGTGATTACAATTGTTAAATTTTGTAGTAATAATGGTTTAGTAATAATGGTTTCCAGACAGGAAACCATATTTTCTTCCTAGTAGAATTAGGGGAATCTCCTTTGCTGACAGGCTCCTTTACTACAAGAGGTTAAGCATTTTAAAGTTTTGTTTGTTACTTAAAGAGTTTATTTAAGAAAAATATAGGAAAGAATGGTGTAATAATTAGGTGATTTTTTTTACCCCATGTAATTTTGCTAACTACATCTACGCTTTTAACTTTGCTGATTTTTCAGACAGACCATAAAGAATATATGTGGTATTTTTCACAAACAGTGTTCAAGCATCTTAGTGCAAGTCCCACTGTGAGAGAAAACATGTTATATCTGGAATGAGTCTGTTGGAGTTAGGGGAGTCATCAGTTTCCATGGAATCTTGCCAGGGTGCAACTGAACTCATTTTGGCTCAGCATTCCATGACCCATAATCACATGTAATCTCTACCATATAACTTCATACTTCCAGACTCTCCAAATGAAATTAATTTTAGTAAGCTGATATAACTGGCAGACCTAGGTATTGAGAAATAAGATGTGCTGTCTCTTTGGGTGAGCTCGAGAGTATTCTCCGGATGCAAAGTTTCCTCCTACCTTTCTCTTAAAGGTTGACACACCACGTTTGCAAGTTGTATAATATCTCATGCAGGTACTTTCTAAACAAGATTCACATTCATCCCATAGATTTTTCAAGGATACTTGACATTGTCTTTCCTCTTCTTCCAGTCTTGCCTTTACTTCATCCATAAGTCGCAAAGCTTGCTAAGTAAGGAAAAAGATTCATTTGAGGGCAATTTTCAGATTAGCATTCTAAGTACTTACCCCAGTGTTCATCACACACATTTTGGCTATTTATGGCTCCTTTTTTTGCTAATCCCTAACCACTAGGCTAGGTTGCCTTCTCAGATGCAGTTACATACGGAGGGAACTGAAAATTGAAAACCTTTTCTTTATAGGATTTTTCTGATGTTGTTCTCTCAGGGGACACAGCCTGCAGAAACAAATGGATCGCTACAGACTACCAGGATTTTTGATGTTAAGAAAAAAACTCACACATCATTCTGTGTAAGAATTCAGCCTCCCCCATGGTCATGTGTTCAACTCGTGTTATTTTTGCTCCATATCATCTGAACAGTACTCATCTGTCCCACAAATAGTCCTTTTCTGTTGCCTTTCTCTACCTTTAAGGGATTGATATTTCATGAGGGTAGGTCCTTGCCATAAAGTCTGTCTAATGCAGAAATATATAAAAGTTTAGCATCTCTGCTGTTTGTGAGTGTACTAATCAAAAGGGAAATTTTTCCTGCTGTTGTGGAAGTGTGAGGCACTCCTTCCATACTGAAGGGCAACAAGATGCATTTCACAATGCTGCTTCTGTTTGCTTCATCAGTTAGGGCACAAAGCTGAGCCCTAACTGATGAAGCAGTATTTTTGGATATAGGCTTGACAATGGAAAGAGGAAAGTTCTTCCCATTGAAGTAGATTACACATCATCAATTTCTCTCTCCAATTGCAACATATTTCAATAGGTTTTGTTTCCAAATAATGTTCCAAGCTATCTCTAAGTATGACAGAAATATTTTAATTGATGGAGCTTATTCCTTTTTGTCAGCATTCCAATAGGGAAGAGACTCAGATAAAAGAAAACTTCCATCAGAATGTGCTTGATGGAGACAGTAACTGCAGTTTTCGTAATCTGTGCTCAGTTATTTTCTGATCTTTCTAATACATTTATTCAGTGTTTTATGAACTCTCACTGTGGATGTGAGTCCTGTGTAAATGAAATCATCCAGTAAGATCTAACAAGAGTGTTGACTGTGGGAGTGCACTGGTGCTCCTTAAGATGTTAGAAAGCTATCAGGTACTTTTTTAGTTTAAACTAGCTACCAGATGTTGGGCCAGGAGGGAATTTTCCTTCAACTTTGTTGAAACAAAGGTAGGATATTTGTGTTTTTTTAAATGTAGAGTAAACCTCTGTTTCTTCAGATCATCTGAGCATATGGCTCTGAGCCTAGGCATTGCACTAAGACATTGGAAATTTCCCTGATTCATTGTACTTTCTTTAGAGCACATTATCATTTGAGGCTTTGATGTTCTCCTGCAGGTCTGAAGTTTGCCAAGCAAGCTGGAGAACATCTGGTGGCCCCAGGAGTATAGAGACATGGAGGGCAGAGCTGCTGGACCTTCTGCACAGAACACTGTTCTACAGTGGCCTGCAGTTGCCTTGGTGTGTATGCAGTGAAGCAGGGGTTTTTAGAAACAAGCAGTATGTGCAATTTTCCTCTGCTAGTGAAACAAAGGGCCAGAAGCAGGTTTTCTCTCAATTCCATGACTGCATGAAAATATGTACACTGCTTTGGTTTGGTTTACATTCTTCCCAGAATAAACATAAAACCCCCACAGATGCATTTATGTTACCTGTTTTTCTTCACTGCTCTTCTTCAAGGTTTTCATCAGATCTATGTGCTTATCTTCATTTTTTTCCATCATAATTTTCATCTGCTTAATACCAATCAAAGCTTTCTTTACCTCTTCATCTACATACTTCTCTCCAACTTCAGATAATTCTAAAAAAAGCCATATGATACAGTGACTTAATCAGATTTTAACACTATTGCAAATTGTCATGCACTGACGATGGAGAATGAAATAGCTCTGTGTTTCCCTACACTGGCAGAGCCAAATCTGAGATAGCGAATGCTGAATGATACTGAGCCAAGGCAATTTCCATCAGATAAGAATCCGGCCCAGAGCTTTTGCAAGGATCAGCTGTATGTAACTCAAAAGATAGATTCAACTGTCCCACTGCTGAATACTGAATCCCAGAGCAATTGGGGCTGGTACCTTTGGAGATCATTGAGTCTGCCCCCTCCATTCAAAGCATGGTCAACTACATCAGGTTGCACAGGACATCATCACCCTGGGTTTTGAATATCTCCAAGGATCACTCATCTATTTTCTAATGACATAACCTTTATATTTATCTTTGATCTGGTAGAAGCCTGTGACAGCTTCCCTCTACATTTTGAAAATGTAGATTACAAGTGCCTTCAACCTGTTTTCATAAAAATACAATTTGTAGACTTCCTGTGAAGTAATGAGCATAGAGTTTTGGTGAAAACCTGGGCTGGCCCATGCACTGCACCTTGAAGCTCTGCATGATTCCCTATCCTTTATCTGCATTTGTTTTCTTTGTGGAAATACCCTGAATATCACTGAAACTATAGAAAACAGTAAAACCATCTCACCTTGAGACTGCCAAAAACACATCAATCACTTCTTCCTTTGTGTTTTTCTTCCTCATCTCTAACTTTCTGTTTGTTTATTACAAAAATCCTGTCAACATAGACTGAAGCACAGCATTGTTTAATGGCTGATCCTCTTTCTCTCCACAAAATAAATCCATGCTTAGAAGTATGTGTGTGTGTGCAGAATAGCTGGTATTTTCTAAATTAAGTAATTTTTTTCAGTTGTTTGTAAAAGCCACCTTTTCAGTGAAATATGTAAGTGTAGAGGAAATATTTTCAAAGATTATTTGAAAAAACAAAATAGTTCAAAATCTGTTGAACCTCATTTTGGGTTTGGTTTCTATTCTGATGATCTACAAGGAACCAAATAACCTATAAAAATCCTGTAAGTACTTTTTTCTTTTGGCAGGTGATGCTTATCTGTTAATCCCTTTGCTTTCTCATCCTGCTTGTTCTTATCTTCCTAATGTGTGCACGTAGGCATGCAATCGACTTTGTTATGTTTTCTAAGCTTCATACATGCAAGTGGCACTTGTTGATGGCAGTGAGTGTGGAAGCCAAGATGCCCTGCCTAGCTGGAGACCCGGGCCCAGGGGCTTCCAGCCCACCCTGGCAGAAAAAGCTTACGTACGCTTGAGGTTGTCCCGGAGATTCATCTCCTCCTGCTTCGTTGGTGCGCACTGGTGGCCGCTCAGACACAGCACATGGACCAGAAATATCCAGGAGGACCTCATGTTCTTTCTGTTCAAGGAAAAGTTCAGTGCAGTTACATGTAAACATTGGCAGGAAGCTCAGATGTCTAGGTATACTAAGTAAATATAAATGCTAACTATAATACTACGTATCTTACAAGATCCCGTTAATTTTGTCTGTAACGATGGTTTCTGATATGTATAGCATGCACCTAGGTGTTACTCTTGGTGAAAATACATGAGTAAGAAGCTTGACCTGCTTTGTAATTATCTATTTAGATTAATTAGATGAGTTCCACTGAGTTTGCACAGTGGTTAACAGAATCAGGACATGTATGTATAAAATCAAAAGCTTATGCTGTTCAGTCTGTCCCTTTTCCTCTTTGTGAAACACACTAATTACCAATCTCATATTGTGTCCTTAGTTCATGTTGTAAATACATCCATGCTAAAGATTATTGCCGGTTTTAAAGAGGGAAGTTTCTGGAATGTTGTTCCCTTTCTTGTAAACATGCAATTCCTTTCAGTGTCCTTCAGAATAAGACTTAATATAAGAGACTCAACAAAGGTGTGCCAAAAAATCAGTAATTAGATCAATTTTGTAAACAAACAGATCAGCAAATGAAAGAAATCCCTAAACAAGGGAAAGAAATGCCATTTGCTTTATTTCCCTCCTAAGAGCAGAGCCAAAAGGTTCATTTTTCAGAAACCATGCAGCTTCACTTTATGGTTCTCATCTGATTAAGTGAACACAGTATTCAGATGCCTTGTAGTTAGCCAATATAGCCTTCTTGGAGATGCAATTATCAGCCACAAGAGCATATGTAACTTAAAAGCCTGGATTTGTTTATAGCCAAGATTTACTTCTACAGTTACTTGCATATTTCACCTTCACATTTACACCGAAAGACCAATTAACTGCAAAGAAATACAAACACACAACCAAAGAAAAGTAAAAAAGTATATTTACCATTAATATTTTGTACCTCTTCTGCAAAATTGCTCCTTGTGTCAGGAAGGGGCTGGGCTGTGTTCTGGACTTATTTCTGGGAGTGTCAGGGATTTTGCCATCTTCTACTTATCTGATGAGAAGGGACTTAATCCTATTAAGGGACATTTAGTCACTAGGCTGGGGGATTTTGCATGTGTGCGACTTCATGCTCATCTCTGTGGGCAAAACCACCAGGGGGAGTGCTGGGCAGAATTGCCTTATTTAAAGTAATTTGGAACCGCTATTTTTCTGTAGTCAGTAGCCTTTTGTCCCGTTAGGTCTTCCATCGTCTTACTTCTTACTTTAGGAGACACCTGCAGCTTATGTTATTAGTGAAATTGATACTATTACTTTGGCTAAAAATAGCTTTCAACATTTAATCTCCTCAGCATGGTTTTAGCTTGCTATAAAAACCACTTCATTATGTAAAGGTCTTCTTTGTACACCTTCTGAAGGTATGGGAGTTGAAAAAATATCAGGAACCCAGATGGAGGCTAGCATGAGCAGATTCTGGAACGAGATAAGCAATTTTTTGGGCATTTTGTACATCATTGTACTTGCCAATGTTGTGGGGGGTTGCCCACTTAATGCTATTTCCTTCAGTTTCTCCATGTCTGTGAAATATGTCTGAGATCTGACTTGTACTGAGTTTTGGACACTTTGAAATTAGATATTTAAATACTAAGAAGTGCTTAATATAAAGTATGGACAGGTACTGTTAGCAAATCATATCCCACCTTGTGATATTCAGCAATATTACTCCCTTGTACCCAAAGAAGAGATGGGGAGAGTGGGTGTTTTTAGCCCACAGTCTGTAACAGCAACTTTAAGACATTCCATTTTGTTTACCTAATCATTCATAAAGGCCAATTGATGGCTAAGATCTAGCATGATTAATGCTGCTTAGGCAAGAGATTTCAGGGATTTAGTTTTAAACACATTATCAGAAAGAGTGGAGAATCTATCAGCTCTACTGGGAACTGCAAGTCACCAATTTGCACTAAAAATTAGGGTAATTCCACTTTTTTTTCTGAAAATTATGGATGGAATGGAATATTTATTTTGTTGTAATCTATATGAATTGCTGTCTCATTGAGTTTCTGCTTACTCCTTGACCAAGACTCATCACATTTCAAGTTCTCTTCTGTGGAAAAACTAAGCAGGCACCCTTGCAGACCTTGTGACTGTTTGTAAAGGATCCCTGGGTCTTGGGCTGAAGCAGAAGGGGCTCTCCCCCCTCTCTCTCCCCCTCTGAACCTCACACTCAGCTCAGGAGAGAGTGAAACTGGAAAATGCATTTGCACAAAGGAAGACAATCTATTACAGACACTTGTGAAACGTGTGCTATTAGCCTACATGTATAATGAATCCTACCAAAGACTTTAATCTTTCACTGCAAGGGTTTCTCCAGTCATTTTTGGCGTTTCTCTTTGCTAATATTCATTTACTAGCAGCATTCATTTTCTGTTCTTTCTCAGTCTGACTCTGTATAGAGAAAGCTTCACTCAACCTAGATTAAAAAGGGTGGTTTCAACACATCAATCATAGTTCACAGGAGTTTGTGAGAAAGCAGGCGGCCCCAGCCCTGTGGGGAGGGAGAGCTGCACTCCTGCCCCAGGGCAAGGGGCTGGAGAATGCATTTATAAATGCATATATAAAATCAAAAGCTCACTCCCAGAATTGTCTGCTTTCTGAAGGTCTCCTGGGGAGTCTCTGGTCAAGCACACACTTGCACCTTGCAAAGCCAGTCCTCAAGCTGATGCTGAGGCAGAGAGTCCTGCTGTGTGTTGAGCTCCTGTTCTCAATTCAGTTGATTTTGAACATTGCAAAGTGTCTTGCATCACCTTAGGTGCTACTCCTCATACTTTATTGTAACCATTATGTAACCACATGGAAACAGGCACTACTGTATCTATGTATATCTTTTTACAAAAACACGAAATCCTAGTTCTTTGCTCTCATGTTCTTTCATATATATCTAATGGCTGAGAGAGGAGGTGTAAGGAACCCAAGAACAAAACTGATAGAGCTAGTATGTCTCTTAAATTTAATCTTGGGCTTAAACTTAACCTTAAAAGTGCACTTAAGAAACCAGCACCCTGTTCTTGAAAGGCAGCTCTTAATAGTGCTTACTCTGAAAAGTTTTTCCTCTCTCATTTCTGTTTTGAATTTAATTAAACAAAAATCTCATCAATAATACCTTCATGTTTCATGTGAAATATCCACTCTCTTTTCTTTTAACTTTTCAAATCTGATTTGCAGTGACCCATTATGGAGATCTCCATTTTTCATCTCAGCTGCCATGTTCAACAGTTTCCTCTTAATATTTTATTTTCCTCTGAATTTGAGTGCTTTGATCAGCTATAGTATAGTGTGTCATGTCATGACATTGTGATGACATTTTCAATTTATTCCACTCTTATACAAGCAGATGATTCAATGCTGCTGAAATTAATAAGGTACTCTTCTAATATTGAATCCTACTAGAGACAGTCTGAAGAAGCTGTTGGGAGCTAATTGTCGAAAGTGTCTTTTTTCCTACCCCAACTTCCTACCCTTGTTATTCCACTACTACTCTATTTTAATTGAAATAATATTTATCCATTGAAAAAGAAATGGAAAATAGCTTGAAAAGGAGTTTCAGTTAAAATATTTTTTTTTTGCAAGAAACTGATAAATTGAAAAGTAAATAATTGTAACAAGATATATAGACATTGAGCTTGAACCAAGCTGAACTTGAGCAATGAGAGTTGTAGCTGCTTTGTGGATTTTTCTTGGGTCCCGTTGGATGACCTCCACAAATGTGTAACATTTTTTCACCATGTACTGTGACTTCTCCCTTTTTCTTGATCCATTCCACCTGGCAGGATTAAGCATCAAGAAATATGTTGAAATGGAATTTCCTGTGTTGTACATCAGCTATAGGATTTTGTTCCAGTTAGATATTTACACAATTATTTTCTGTTTGTAAGAGTTGTTTCCTACTATGCTACACATTTCCTAAGCATTTCTTTCTGAGCTAGGCCAGGCATATAATGATCAGGCTGAAAATACCTGATCATATTTATAGACTCTATGAGTCATGGAAAGTGCTGTATACTGACATTAAATCTCTTGGTATTTGCATGAAATAGTCCCTAGTTCGACAAAATCTTAATTAGCTTTATTTGTAAGCACACTATTAATTCTACTGCTTTCAATTGAAATTAAATCCTTGTGGGGGTTTGTGGTGTAATTACATGGCTAATCTAAAGCATGCACAAAGCTTTGCTAAAAGTTGGTAAGGGTTTTAAGGGTATAGAATTGAACTTTTGTGCTGTAAAAGTTTGTTTTGTTTTGTTTTGATTCTTCCCAGTGCTTCATGAGCCCCTGAGTGGCTTCTGCTTTCTCCTGTATTTCAAAGGCTCTCAAAGGCCTCCTGAGGTTCTGTATTCAGTCTTTGAGCTCTACCTGGTTGCCTGAAGTTAGGAACCAAGGCTCCCTCTTTAGCCCAGAGGGAGAGGCACGCTCCTGAGGTGCTCTCAGTCATGCTGGAAGGCCTCAGACAGAGGAGCTGAGGCTGCATTAAGCTGAATAGCTACAGTCAGTCTAAGCTACACATCCTGCAAAAATACCAGCTCAGACCCCCAGAGCAGCACAGCTGTGCTAGCATGACAGGATCCCAAAGTTCATGAGCCCTGAAGCTGAGAGTCAGGCTGACACAGTTTCCCTGTCTGGAGCAGGGTCAGGCAATGCCAGGTCAGGACGCTGCGCTGTGCTCAGCACAAACGTGAAACCAGCAAAAGGCAGAAATCAGCCCGTGAAACTTGGAGCATCACACTGAGAGTTAATGTGGCTTTAGCTGGAATTACTGAGCTACAGCTTTTGGGGTCAGCAAGACCAACTTCACAAGGCTTAGCATGCTTTAAAGTGCATGAGCCTTTTCTGATTTCCTTTTGCTCATCTATCCCTGGATGATAAGGATGATAATTCGGTGTGGAAAAAAAAACCTTCCACTTCACTGCTGAAATTTTTTGTTTTCAAAGCCCTTCAGGGCTTTGACACAAAGTTC